AACCCCAGAACGAAGGGGTGGGTGGCACCCAGTCGCCTTCTTCAGCAAAAAGCTGGAGCCAGCAGAGCTGAACTATGAGGTCCACGACCAAGAGCTCTTGGCGATCGTGAGATCTTTCGAACAGTGGAGGCATTACCTAGAGGGTAGCCAACACCCAATCGAGGTCCTGACGGATCACAACAACCTGAAATACTTCATGGAAACCACCGCCCTCACAAGAAGGCAGGCGCGGTGGGCGCAGGCGTTGTCAGCCTACGACTTCCAAATATCCTATCGAGCTGGCAAGACCAACCCCGCAGATGGGCCGTCTAGGAGACCAGACTATGAGGAAGAGAAGGGTAGCCAGAACGTGATGCTTCCTACCCTTCGAAACAAGCTCCAGAAAGCCATACAGGCAGGAGAAGAAGCCCTGCAGATGAGGCGGGTAGTGGCTGACTTACAAGAAGTAGGCACCACACTGGGCGAAGACCAGAGTAAGGACACCAAGAGTCCAGGTCTCGTTGTCCCTCGAGTTATGGTGGCAGCCATGGCTCAGGGAGAGAGCGCCTACAGTGCCACGGCCGAACCCTTAGCGGATCTGATCAAAACCCTTCAAGCGGCTGACGAGCTCGCTGTTCACAGGGCCAGAGAAGCAGGGCCGGCGTGGGCGAAGGGCTCTTCAGGTTGGAGAGTAGACGATGCAGGCATCCTACGCTTCAAGGGAGCAGCCTACGTGCCTCCCAATCAGGCAGTACGTATGGAAATCTTCAAGATTTGCCACGACGACCCTTTGGCTGGGCACTTCGGATATAAGAAGACCCAGGAACTGATCCGACGGAAATACTACTGGCCTGGATTAGACCAGGAAGCCAGGGAGTACGTACGTGGCTGCGATCGGTGCCAGCGGATCAAGCCGGTACGGCATAGACCCTACGGCGAAATGCAAGGCCTCAGAATGCCTACTAAGCCCTTTGAGTCCATAAGTATGGACTTCATCACAGATCTGCCGCCTAGTATAGGAGCAGACCAAGCTAAGGCTTCAGACTCCATTTTGGTAATCGTAGACCGATACACCAAGGTATCCAAATATATACCCTGCCGGAAGACCATTACTGCCACCGAGTTGGGGCGGGTCTTCCTTGAGTATTGGGTTAAGGACTTTGGAATTCCTGCTGAAATAATTACAGACCGCGGCAGCGTATTTACGTGCCACTTCTGGTCGGCCTTCTGTTTCCACCTCAAAGTACGGCGGAACCTATCGACTGCCTTCCACCCTCAATCTGACGGCCAGACGGAAAGGCAGAACCAGAATATTGAGGCCTACCTACGCCTACACTGCAATCAGCACCAGGACAATTGGGTAGAACTTCTTCACTTCGCGGAGCTTACCTACAATAATGCCTTCCACGATTCCATCCAGATGTCGCCAAATCAGGCTCGATACGGTATCAACATCGACCTGCGGCAAGGGATCGAGGACGACCCCATGAGAAGGGAGGTGCCGGTTGCAAGAGACCGAGTCCAGAAGATCCTCGACCTACGAAAGGAGCTTGAAGAGGCCTGGGCGAGATCGAAGGAAGCCCAAGTCCGAGGATATAACAAGATCCACAAGCCAATGCAGTTCATGGTCGGCGAACGGGTGTGGCTTTCTGCCAAGAATATCAGAACCACCCAGCCAAGTAGGAAGCTAGGTCACCGGTGGCTCGGACCGTATGAGATCACCGGGCGGATAGGTAAACAGGCGTATCGATTGAGGCTTCCCCCACGGTATAAGGCGATTCACGACGTGTTCCACGTCTCCCTACTCGAGAGGTATCGGGAAGGCGTTGAGAAGGCCGATCCTCCACCAGATCCAGAGATCGTGGATGGGGAAGAAGAATACAAGGTCGAGGCAGTCCTAGACCACAGGACTGTGCGGAGGGGTAGAGGAATCCGAGAGGAATACCTGATTAGGTGGGCAGGCTACACTGCAGCTGACGATCAGTGGGTTCCAAAGCTTGACGTAGGACTACCGTTAATCAAGGCATATCACAAGGAACAGACGCAGAAGGCAATGTAGTGTATTGTCCTAAACTAAGGGAAAAAAACAACGCGTCAAGTTCCGAAGGAGAAGGGCTCACAGACCCAGAAGCAGACCCCGACCCAGACCTAGAAGAAATGCGCGCGTCAGACAAGGGGGCGACGACGGGGGCAGGGCGTGGATTGAAGCGCCACTGGTCTGGACGCACAAACAAACGCTCAAAAAGAGCACGATCGTAATCCGCAGGCGTAGGCAGGAGAATAGGTCCTACCGACAAGGGCGCGGAGGGCAGGACAGGCCTCACTCGAGCTACCCACAGGGTCAGCAAAACGTCCAGGAAGGATGGGAATCACAAACCTACGACAAACTTCAGGGCGGCGACGTGGGCGTTGAGGCCAACCTGGTAGGCGTCTAGAGCCGCATCAGTAGCGGCGTGGAACATAGCAGCAGCAGCCTTGAGAGCCTTGGTTTTGGCCTGATCCAGCTCAGCAAGGGTCTCAGCGTGGTGAAGAAGGGCTTGGCGTGGGTCGTTGAGGTTGCGGACGACGGGGCCCCCAGCCTCAGGGAGAGGCGCAACAGGTTCCTCGTGGAAGGACGTAGCAGCTCTCTTACCCTTATTCTTGACCTTCAGGGTGCGAGGCTCCTTGCCCTTATCAGCGGTAGTGAACTCGCGTTGGGCAAAGAGGAGGGAGGCCAGAGCCTCACGGGTGGCGACCGAATTATGTTCCAGCCCAGCGTCCTCGTCGTCAGCGCAACAGTTCAAATAGGCGTCGGACTTGAGCTGCAGGGCAGTGAGGGCATCCTTCTGATCAGGACCGACCTGCCTGGTTGTCAGCATATCCCACTAAGAAGGAAAAGGAGGCCTACCGGAACGCAGTGGTGGTTTCCTTGGAGACAGTCGCCGCACTTGTCCAAGCCAACAGGGACCCAGCAGATCTGTCCAGGATAGTTGTAATAGGTGACTGAACACTTGACGCAGCAGTCGCGGGAGCCTGCGCGAAGGGGACCAACAGACTCTGGAACTGGGCGGCGCGCAGAAAGCTTCCACCCCAGCGCCGTACGCATCTCCTTGGCGGCCAACTGAGCAGCGACCTCCTCCTCCTCCTCTGGAGCGTCCTCAACCGAAGGTGATCGGTAGGGACGCACGGTGCGAGGGCGAGAGGTGGACGCAACGGAAGCAGGACCGAAGGGAGTAGGGGTGGCAGGTGACTCCAACTCGGGAGACCCAGACATCTGGGCGGAAGAGCGCTTGAGAGGGGTGGTGACAGGCGCCACTGTCTTCTTGGGCTGCTTGCGCGGAGCCATGATTGACGGAACTAATCCACAGATCAGTCCCTGAAGACGAAGGACGGAAGGGAGGTAAATACCTTGCGAAGAGGGAGTAATCCTTGAAGCAAACCTTGGAAGAGGATCAAAAGGAAGAACCCAAGAACCCAGAAGAGCGGGCACTTGGTGTGAGGTTGTGTGAGGAAAGTAGGAAGTTGGGTAGGAAGTGGGAGTTAAGCGCGATGCCCACAACAACTGGGGGTGGCCGCGGCACAACAACAAGGGGGGTCACGGGACCCCCCTGACAGGCGCGAGTTCGATAACAACAACCCACCCTACGCGCGAGCAAACAAGCCAAACAAGCCCAAACAAGGGCGCAATCAGCCCTGATCTCTATGCCTGGAATTGGGGGCAATTCCCTAGAAGGGGGAGGTAATTGTAAGGCGGCCCTCACGTGAGGGCACGTGAGGTGTCACGCTCTTACAGTGGACCTGGCGGGCTCGGTAAATTAGGGCCTACGGGTTCCTGTATATAAGGGGCTGGAGGCTCGGAGTGAGGCCTCCAGTCAATAGTCGCTGTATATACGTAGACCTATTGTTACGCATTGAATCCTACTTCCTACCTACTGATCTGGTTCCCTGAGCTCCCGTGTGACCCTGGGTCCTACGACTTTACAACCTCTCATCGCTACCTACTCGCCGACTGATACCGTCTTCGACACTGTTGTTGCGTAAATCGACAGGGTCCATTTTGACCTACCTATCGTTATCATGGATGTTCCACTTGAGTTCGTCTCATCTGAGGACGAAGCCACTCTCAATCCGTTCTTTAACGTGGGTAAGAAAAGGATCGGCGAGATACTCGCAAATGCAAAAGAGGACCGAATTGCCTCAAAAAGAATGAAAAACCTGCGAGACTTGTCTGGGGCGCCAGGTCAGGCCCGCCAAGGACAGTTATGGTTCAATTACCTCCAGTGTTTGTAGGGGATATCCTTGGCCAGGAGTAAGTCGCTCGCCCTATCCACCTCACTCGCTCAGTCTTCATTGCTTTAAATCGACAGGGTCGATTCTAACAAGTCTATAGTATACGAGTTACACTAACCGGGGAACTTGTGTGCCTCTTTATATGCCATATCATCGAACGCCTTAAGCAGGATCGTCGGAAAGCCAGCATACTCAAAGAACTCACTACAGGACGAACTTCGCAAACTTATCAGGCGTTTGACCTTCGAATACCCTAGATTCAAGATAACGGACCATTACAAACTTCGAACTGAGGTAGCTATCAGTTCTCTCGTGCGGGAGGGCAAACTGACTGTTGGGAACTGACGGAAGTCTCAATGGATTGTTTTTCTCACCCTTCGGTCCTCGCTCGTGTCTCATATCAAAGATGGGCTGACTAACGGAGTAACGTCCTGGGATGTTCGTATAACCAGATGGCTGTCGACTGTTCTCCAATCAAGCGCAGGTTCGAGAGCAGGAGAGGTACTGCGCTCAGATGCATATGGTGGCGAGGAGAACATCGAAGTAAAGCTTGTGGGCGGTATACGATTTGAGCATCTACAGGCACAGGGTACTATATTATGGGAGAAAGGTAGCAAGTGAGTAACATGACCCTGTCTTACTCATGATCATGTCATGACCCTGTCATATAACGACACTGCTAACAGACGAAACCGAAAGTACGTACGTTGGCGTCCACTTGAGCAAACTACTAGCATCATTGTGGACCCGATATGCGTACTGCTGACGCCATGAGAAGCGGCCAAGTATATGGTCGTACAATCGAAGAAGTCCTTGAACACGCAGCAGCACAGCCGTCGCGGAGGATATTCTGGGTCAATCCCACTTGGCCGGTTATCCCAGCCATTACGAACTCGGGTGTTGCCCTCAACTTTTCAAAGCCTGCCAATGTCAACCAGCTGGAATGCAGTATCCGCGAAGTAGGCCCTATTGGTGGCTCTATCTATCCCTTATGCTCGCATGATCTACGCCGTGGTACTAAAGCACATTGAGAACATTGCAGCAGGCGTCTGCTATGGGTCACTCGGAAGGTGCTTTTCAACGCGGTACAACTGAAAAATACGCCGAGAGGGAGTCGATTTTCGTTCTCAACCAGAAGGAGAAGGCCGTGGAGCGTGTGGGTGAGGATCCCTTTGGACTACAGATCGCGCCTACTCCATATCAGAAGCCCGCTCGACTGCTTTCTAGGGATATTGATTTAGCAGCGGCGAAATATCCAGGACTCGGTCGTAGGCGAGTCGCAGACCGTGCGTGTTCATCGTGACTTGGGGCAGAAATGGAGAGAAGAAGCCTTAAACCCAGACATCGTGGTCCCAAAGAAGTGTTTATGCTTTGAGGACAAGTCTCGATCAGGCTTGTCGATGCTATCACATACTATCCAAGCAGCAAATGGGGGACGTCGATTTCGACCCTATCAAAAATGACAATGCAAATGCTACCGACCGTCTTGATGCCGATGATTCGAACATCGACCCAGAATTGCTTCCGGCCGAACAGGAGGAAGCATATCATCTTCTCCAAGTGATACGCGGTGATGTCGCTGAGAGCGATGATCCCCAGTTTATAAGGAGCTGTGTTAACGAATTGGCTGTGAATTCCTGTCCATCAGGGAACTGCCCCGTTTTCGAGAAGGACATCCCTGATCGCTATCATCTTTTACGGCATCTCGTTGGGGTTCACCACAGGCTCTCTAAATATTCTTGTGACTGGATGCCATTGCCTACAAATCGACGAGTTCCAGTATTCGAACACTGGTGTCCGAATACTGGAACTTGTGTCCAGGGGGATTAGGTGACGTAGCCGCCATCATACGAGTACTCTCACTGCACATGTAGAAACAATGTCACGACTCAATTATCACCCAACATAGGTTGCTGCCACCCAGCGTCAGCAACCTTCAAATACAGCTAATCAAATATCGCTATATTCATAATATCGTTATGCGCAAAAATAAGAATTACAAAGCGCATTCTGCCCTCGGTCGAGAGTTTGGGAGATGCACGTGGTACTTCCCTCGGACTGGGGTGTTCGGACTGTGGGTGTGGGCCGAGGTCCAAATTATGTATTAAACCCCAAGCCTCGCACGCCAACCCTTTTACACTTCAACAACTCTCCCATCTAATCAATCATGACTGAACAAATTCGTTTTGACGGTCAAGTCGTCGTCGTCACAGGAGCAGGCGGTGGATTAGGTAAAAGTTATGCAACATTTTTTGCCTCAAGGGGAGCCAGCGTCGTCGTGAACGACTTGGGCGGATCGTTCAAGGGCGACGGCGGAGCTTCCTCAAGAGTGCGTCATTTCCAATCTTGCCCCTCTGCGAACTGAATGCTGACCAACCCCCAGGCTGCCGATGTAGTGGTTGAGGAGATCAAGGCTGCTGGCGGCAAGGCTGTTGCCAACTACAACAGTGTCACAGACGGTGAGAAGATCATTGAGACCGCCATCAATACCTTTGGCCGCATCGATGTCCTCATCAACAACGCCGGTATCCTCCGTGATGTCAGCTTCAAGAACATGAAGGACCAGGACTGGGACCTGATCATCGCCGTCCATGTTAAGGGCTCATACAAGTGCGCGAGGGCCGCATGGCCGCATTTCCGCAAGCAGAAGTACGGACGTGTTATCAACACCGCCTCTGCTGCTGGTCTCTTCGGCTCCTTCGGCCAGACCAACTACTCCGCCGCCAAGCTTGCCCTGGTTGGCTTCACGGAGACCTTGGCCAAGGAGGGCGCCAAATACAACATCAAGGTCAATGTTATTGCGCCAATTGCCGCATCCCGCATGACCGAGACCGTCATGCCCCCGGACATGCTCGCAAACCTCAAGCCGGAGTGGGTTGTGCCGCTCGTGGCCACCCTTGTGGACAAGGACGCCGAGGAGAGCGGTTCCATCTTCGAGGTCGGCGGTGGACACGTCGCCAAGCTCCGCTGGGAGAGATCCTCGGGAGCTCTCCTGAAGGCTGATGATTCCTACACCGCAGGTGCTCTGCTCGCCAAGTGGGACGACGTCAATAACTTCAAGGAGGCCGAGTACCCGTCCGGCCCCGCCGATTTCCTCAGCTTGTTGGACAAGTCTATGAAGCTGCGTTCCGCCCCCAAGGCTGAGGCCCTCGACTTCAGCGGAAAGGTCGTCCTCATCACCGGTGCCGGAGCTGGCATTGGCCGCGCATACGCCCTGGCATTCGCCAAGCTGGGCGCTAAGCTCGTCATCAACGACCTTGTCAACCCAGACACCGTCGTCCAAGAGATCCAGAAGCTTGGCGGCACCGCCGTCGGTGTCAAGGCACCTTGCGAGAACGGTGAGGAGGTTGTCAAGGGCGCCATTGACGCTTTCGGCCGCATTGATGTCATCGTCAACAACGCTGGTATCTTGAGGGACAAGGCTTTCGCCAACATGGATGATAAGCTCTGGGACTCAGTCATGGATGTCCACCTCCGCGGTACCTACAAGGTCACCAAGGCCGCATGGCCATACTTCCTTAAGCAGAAGTACGGACGTGTCATCAACACCACCTCCACCTCCGGTATCTACGGAAACTTCGGCCAGGCCAACTACGCCGCTGCTGTAAGCTTACCCCCTCTAATAACCGAAACCCCCCTCCTGACTTTATTATAGAAATGCGGTATCCTTGGTTTCTCCCGTGCCCTTGCCCGTGAGGGTGCCAAGTACAACATCTACGTCAACACCATCGCCCCCAACGCCGGAACCGCCATGACCCGCACCGTCATGCCCGAGGAGATGGTCCAGGCCTTCAAGCCCGACTATATAGCACCTCTCGTCGTCCTGCTCGCCAGCGACAAGACCCCCAACCCCAGCGGCGGCCTCTACGAGGTCGGCTCCGGCTGGGTCGGCAGCACCCGCTGGCAGCGTGCCGGCGGTGCCGGCTTCCCCGTCGACGTCGTCCTCACCCCTGAGGCCGTTCGCGCGCAGTGGACCCGCATCACCGACTTCAACGACGGACGCGCAGACCACCCCGACAGCCCGGCTGATGGCCTCAAAAGCATCATGGCCAACATGGATAACAAGTCTAGCAACAAGGTATGAGCCTCTTCTAGGTCTTGTGTGAGCGCGCTGTTCGCGCGCGTGTGTCGTTCATATCTGTCATTTACGACGCTTCATGTACTGTACGATAGCTAGACGCACTCAATGTCAAAATAAATGTCAAACTTATGATCAGGCCACTATCTAACATTTTTCCTCGTAGAAAGCCAAGAAGCCCGCCCGCAAGTCCGAGCCCAACCCCAAGATCCTCGCCGCCATCGAGGAGGCTAAGAAGGCCAAAGCCTCCGGCACCGACTTCACCTACGAGGAGCGCGACGTCTCCCTCTACAACCTCGGCATCGGCGCCCTCCGCACCGAGCTCCCCTACATCTTCGAAGGCTCGCAGGACTTCCAGGCCCTCCCAACATTCGGCGTCATCCCCCCCTTCTCCGCCGAGGCCCCCTACGACCTCTCCTCCATCGTCCCCAACTTCAACCCCATGATGCTCCTCCACGGCGAACAATACCTCGAGATCCGCCAATTCCCCATCCCCACCTCCGCCACCCTCGTCTCCTACCCCCAGCTCATCGAGGTCGTCGACAAGGGCTCCGCCGCCGTCGTCAAGTCCGCAACAACAACCGTTGACAAGGCTACCGGCAAGGACGTTTTCTACAACGAGATGACCGTCTTCCTCCGCGGCTCCGGCGGCTTCGGCGGCAACCCCAAGGCAGGCGACCGCGGTGCCGCCACCGCCGCCAACGCCATCCCTAAGCGCGCCCCCGACGCTGTCGTCGAGGAGAAGACCACCGAGGAGCAGGCGGCTATCTACCGTCTGAGCGGTGACTACAACCCTCTGCACGTCGACCCCCAGTTCGCTGCCATGGGAGGCTTCAAGGAGCCTATCCTCCACGGTCTGTGCTTCTTCGGTGTTGCTGGTAAGGCAGTCTACAAGACTTATGGTGCGTTTAAGAATATCAAGGTTCGCTTTGCGGGTACTGTGACGCCGGGTCAGACGCTTGTTACGGAGATGTGGAAGGATGGGAATAAGGTTATCTTCCAGACCAAGGTTAAGGAGACGGGCAAGTTGGCGCTGGCGAGCGCCGCGGTCGAGTTGGTGGAGAAGAACTGAGTGTAATGATTTTGTAGGTGGAGTGTAGAATTAGTTTAGTTTGATGTTCAAGAAAGAATTTCATTAAGTACTATAACTATTGTCCTTTCGAGAGAGTGACTGTTGACCTTTGATATCTCGCCCAGTCCCATCACTTTACGTCACAACAGACAGCAATTATCCAACGCATACGAAAGTCACCAAAAAAGTAAACGTCTCATTAACCCCTCCCATCATCAACGCATCCCTCATCGCACCCCAACTACCCCCTCCAAACAACTCTCCCCTTCCACCACGTCCCCATTCAAACAAAACATATATAATTTTCCCCCCTTCAAAGCAAAAGGTATCAAAAATAAAAACTACGTTTCTCAACCCCAACCCCCCACCAAACACGTAAAGGCATGGCATAGGTTATGAAACCTAGCTGTTCTTCGCGTAAGCAGCGTCAATGTCCTTCTTGTATGTGTCGACGATGAGGCGGCGGTTGAGCTTCTGTGCTGAGGTGACGAAGTTCTGTAAAATCCATACGTTAGTATTTTATCCTTCGCAGTAATCAACGTCCATTGGTAAATAGAAAACTTACGTTTTGGGGTGTCCACTCCTCATCCGACATAACAACACCACTGATAATCTCAATCCCCGATAACCCTCCAGACCGACCGGCATGCTGCAGAGCCTTGAGCACCGCACTCTGCAGCTTAGCATTATGCACGAGCTGCTCGAGGTTGCCCTCCTTGATGCCAATCGACGCCGCAAGCTTCTTCAGCGCTGGCTCGGCAGGCAGAATGATTGCAACGGGCTTGCTCTTCTGCTGATCGGCGTAGATGCAGATGTTGGACACGACGGTCGCTGAGCGGTACACCGACTCTAGCTTCTCGAGCGCAATGTACTCGCCGTTCAGCGTCTTGATCAGGTTCTTCTTGCGGTCGACGATGTTGAGGTGGCCGTTGGTGTCCCACTCGCCAATGTCGCCCGTTTTGAACCAGCCGTCGGGGCCAAAGGCCGCCTTGGTCTCCTCCTCGTTCTTGTAGTACTCCTCAAACACGCTGTTCCCGCGGATCCAGATCTCACCCTGTGGCGAGGGCTTGTTGGTCGAGAAGTAGCCGGCCTCGGGGTAGTCGACGAGCTTGACCTCGATGGAGCCGGGGATGTCGCCCAGAGCCGAGTCGGTCCACTTCATGGGATCCATAAGCGCGCCCATGGCGCAGGTCTCGGTGAGACCGTAGCCGTTGATCATGGGGCCGATCGAGAGGGAGATGAAGCGCTGCGTATCCTTGGAGATTGGCCCACCACCGTTCAGGCAGATTCGGAGTCTGCCACCAGTGGCCTCCTTCAGCTTCTTGAATACAACCGCATCGAGGACGCCAGCGCCCGGGATGCCACAAGACATCATCATGCTCTTCAATGACATGGCTCCCCAGAATAGGATCTTCACGATGGGGCTCCCGGCGTTGACCTTGGCGACAATGCCCTTCTTGACGGTCTCCCATACAGCTGGCACCCCAACGAGAATGGTAGGCTTGCACTCGCGGATGTCACCGTTGCAGTTTCTGACAGAGGAGTCGGAGAGTGTCTTGGGGTTGCCGTAGCACATGGTTCCACCCCATCCCAAGCACGAGTTCTCAAAGACCATCTCAAGAATGTGAGCAAGTGGGAGGTATGCAAGCAGGGAGTCGCCTGGGCCGATGTATCTCTCGATAATAACGTTCACGCCGGCAACTGGGCTCGGATTAGCAAACGTTGGTGTGAAGACTGAGCGGCTGGGGAAACTTACGTGCGGCAACGACGTTCTTGTGCTTCAACGGAACACCCTTGGGGGTGCCCGTCGATCCGGAGGTGTACATGATACACGCGAGGTCGTCGGGAGTGGGTGGCACTGGCTCGACTGGGTTCTCCGCGCCTAGCGCGATGAGCTTGTCGATGCTGAGAATGGTCAAGTGGGGGTGGGCCTCCTTCAGGCGCGTGATATGTGCTGGGTTGACGTCGTGCTCGGTGTTGTAGATGACGTGGTTGATCTCTTTGGCCTCCTTTAGCGGATTGACGATGTTGAGGAGAAGGTGGGGGTCAAGGAAGATGGCGTTGGCGCCAGTGGCCACCAGAGAGTGCTTCAGTCCCTCCTCGCCCAGGGTATCGTAGGCCGTGACGATGGGCATCGATTGTGATGCAGCACCGTGAGACATGGCCAGCCAGTGGGCGCTGGTGGCGGCGAAGATGTGTACGCGGTTGTCCTTGACCATGCCGAGCTTCCTCAGGCCGGCGCCAATGTCGATGACCATCTTCTCGTACTCGATGAAGGTGCGGTAGGTGTATCCGCTGAGCTCAAAGTATGTCCAGACCTTGTCCTGCTCGGTCTCGACGCCATCGATAATCCTCTTGATGCGCTTGGTCTCCTTATGGGTCTTGAGAAGCTTGCGCGTGCCGATGGCCTTTGCGTTGCCATATTTGCGGGCTGCTACCTTGACAACATCGAAGAGTGTGGCAACATCGGGGAATGGGCGGGTGACGAGGCGGTCCTGGAGATCTGGGTTACGGCGAGGAAGTGTCTCGCCCTCAACAGGCGTGGCGCCCTCGACCTCCTTGCTGAATGGGGGTGACCTGACGATGCGTGGCTGGACAGTGGCCTTCTTCAGCTCCGGGTGGTCGTTGATGTGCGGGAGCTCGGAAACGACGTCCGTCATGGTGAAGGTTGTCGTGTGTGTGATGAGTGATGAGAGCTGTGGCGGCTATTTGCAAGAGGGAGGTCAAGCTTCAGTTCAGAGAGTCGTCGCAGTATCTGGAGAGAAAGACAGGTATTAGCGGGGAGAAGTCAGGCAGATGGGGGCGATGGGTTATAGTCACGTACAGTATCAAGTGCAGATAGATGATGATGATGATGCTTGTGATGGGCCGAGGAGGAAGAGAAGGAGTAATTGGGGAGAGGGGTTTTGTGGGCAGGAGCTGGAAGGAGCAAACAATAATGGCCTCTTTGGGGAAAGGTACCTTCTTGCTCTGGTGTTTTGGTCGGTTTACAAAGTAGATCCCTGTTTTTTGGCGGTTGGGTAGGAGCAGTATTGAAGGGAGGTGGAGCTCTAGGAGCAGGGATGTTGTGATGTTTGTTGGGGTAACGCGATACGTTAACCCGCACTTTCCGTAGCCAGGTAAGTCAGCCACCACTACTACAACTGTGGTCTAGTCGTTTAGTAGTGGTGCCGCCTGGAGGTTAGAGGAGGACTGTCTATAGTGTCTATAGTGTCTATAGTGTCTATAATAGGAGGGTTTACAGCAGCTATATAGTTCATATAAAGCGTCAAATCACTTAGGACTACACTCAATAGGGTAGTTACCTAGAGATGGGACTAGAGAGGGAATTCCTATCAGCTTAAATCACCCGTATGATGAATCTTTAGCGATAGGGCTCGTCGTCTAACTGGACCCTATTAGAGTAATAGAGCAGATCAAAGCACTCTGTTGGATATAGTGGTTCTAGTGGCTGTAATGGCTGTAAGAGGCTTGGGGGCTGTGGGCTTGGGTTGGACCTAAAAGAGGCTGGGCATAGCAACGTCAAGTATATTGCCGCCGTATGCTTTAGATTGTAGCTGCATATGTACTCTGGTATGTACTGGAGCGGGGGCGAGGGTTGTGCTATGGCTACCTAGTAGGCTCTAGGTACTCTAGAATGAAGACTGAGATGCTATACAGAGAGCTAGTAGTGGTTCTTCTGTTTCTTCTCTAAGGAGCAATAGGGATACCAAGTCTACAGCCATCCCAGCGGCCAGCTCGGTCCCTCTACCCCACCCAAGCCATTTCTGCGGCGATCACTAGTAGTGGACATGCCTACACTACCTAGTGTATAGATACAGTATCTACACAGGTAGCCTGCATTACAAACTAAGACACTAAAATACGGCAAGCCACAGGTGCGCACACCTCCCCGGCTCTCCGCATTCTTCGCTTCTCTCTCGGTAAGAGCAACCCCAGCTCAACAGGCGAGAGGCGGCCAGGCCAACTCTTGGCCGAGAAGTCACGACACCTATACCCGTAAACTAGGAAAGAACGACACAGCCTTGCATATGCATATATAGCCATCGACTCCCTATAGAAAACAGTATATAGCTTCGGTTTACAGAAAAATCTCAAGAATAACCATCCCCTGCACCAACACCCACAAAATGCGGCCTTACGCCGGGGATCAACAGCGGATCTACATCTACAATACACCCCATCCCTATCAGCAAATCCTCCGCCGAGCTTCCCCGTACCTAGGAGGTAGCCGAGGCCCACGTCGTCTTGCCAAGGTCCCTCGTGGTCAACCCCTCGCTAAACCCCGTATGCATCGCCCACCTACGAGTGAAAGAGACACAGAAAAAGACACAGGAAGCCGAGCCTGCACTTGGACCTCCTGTTATACCCGGCCCCTCTCTTCCTCTCTTCCCCAGATCCTAGGTCGTTGGCCTTGGTAGCACGTGACAAGATTAGCGTATGGGTGGGATAACTTTGTTCCCTCATGCTAGTCCTTGGTTACACGTGACGAGGCTGTAAGCTTGTGCAGCCTCGTTCACATTATGCCCTCGTCGTGATCTTGATAAGAGAAAGATGCTAGGATATCTAACATCCACAGCATCACATACACATGACGGTCGAATCCCTCCTTCGAGCCCTCGGGGACGAGATTGAAGATGCGGAAGAAGGCAAGCCCCTCTTTACTCTCCTTACTCTCCATCTTTTCATCCATACAAAGCACTTTTTTTTCCCCAATCATTCCCCCCCCTCCTCCTCACTTTCCTCCCCTCCCCTACCCCCACCTCACTAACACCCACCTCCCCCTCTAGAATCCTTCCTCCTCTTCTCCCAACCCATTCCCTCCCAGAACCTAGGTTTCGTCGACCAATCCGCCACCTCAATCGACCTCACCATTGCCGGCCGCGACCTCACTATCCACCAATCCCCTACCATCCTCTCTTCCACCCGCGGCGGCGGCACTACAGGTGCAGGTACTTTTCTCCTTCTTTTAATCCTTCCAGCGTAAAGCTAACCCCACACAGTTCTCTGGAAAATCACCCCCCTAGTCGCAACCTGGCTCTCCTCCCCCACCAACCCTTTTACCACGCACTCAATCTTCACCCCCTCCTCCACCCTCCTCGAACTCGGCTCTGGTATCTCCGGGGTAATCGCCCTGGCCCTATCCCCAAGTGTCAGCTCCTACACACTCACTGACCAATCCTACGTCCTAAAGTTGCTGAGGCAGAATATCTCTTCCAACCTTCCCTCCCTCTCTAGGAAACCGAAATCTAGCAATAACAATAATTCGTCGAAATCAAAAGCAAAATCTAAAGCCAAGCGCGGGGCCGCTCAAACTACAGCGGCAGAGAGCGGTGAGGGTGGAGAAGGAGGGGAAGGGGACTCGAATATTCAGATCAAGACGCTAGACTGGGAGACAGATGAGGTAGCGGGCCTGCTTCCGGGCAGAGGGAGTTTTGACGCGGTGATTGCGTGTGATTGCATATACAACGATGCGTTAATCGATCCGCTTGTGCAAGCTTGTGTTGATGCCTGTCGGTTGCGTGACAGAGAGAGAAACGCCCACCGCGATGGCGACGACACAACCATAACCACCAGCAACAGCGGCAGCAGCTCCGATGCCCACACCAACAGCGGCAGCGGAGGTGGTGAAGCAGCAGGATTGGGGAATGTAGAGGGAAAGACTGTTTGTATTATAGCTCAACAGCTACGCTCAGACCAGGTCTTTAACGGGTGGCTTGCTGCGTTTAAAGAGTCGTTCCGCGTGTGGAGGGTTCCGGATGAGGTTGCGGGGGTGGGGTTAAGGGGAGGAGAGGGGTTCATTGTTCATGTTGGTGTTTTGCGGTAGAGTGGAGTGTTTGAGGGTAGTTAGGGGAGGGAGGTATTTAGGGGGGGGAATGGCTCTCCCATCCCCTTTTGCACTAGAAACTACCACTACTCTCTAGGTTTTGCCTAAATGAGCCTGCGTCAGCTAAAGCTCGCTTCTTAGCAGGCTTGGGATCTTTTACGCAATAACGGAATAGAGCAATCCAGAGGCAGAATGAGTATGCTATACCCACCACTCAGCAGCCTTAGATTGATGCTTGTTTGGGACTAGGGGAGAATTACGGAGGTAGCGACAGCATGGTAAGGACATACGTGGGGCTTTAGCACGTTGGACGAGAAATGCGGGAACACAGACTTCGCAGGAACCATGGACGTGGTACTCCAGGTTCTTGTAAAGATGGACTGCACGCAACAGCTAGTGTTTACAGCAACCGTGATTAAAATAAGGGCAAAAGTTCCATATACCCCGTATAACGCGTAAAAAGATCGATATACCCTGTATATTTTTTAAAAGATCTATATACCCTGCAACCCCCCAGTCTCCAGTCCCCCCCCCCAAGCCGTAGTCCTCCGTAACCCCCCCCGGCAAAAAAAAATCCACCTGTGTAAACGGCCGTAACGGCCAGTTAAGCTCGCCAACCTCATTGATGAGGCTGGCGACAGCGCCGGGCATTGTGCCCTGCCTTGCCGCAGGTTCCGCAGCGAGAGCGGACAACAAGGGGATCTTGCCGTCGAGATCGACGGCAATCCTCTCGCCGAATCCTCTCCTTCCTAGGCCTCCCGCGCGGGACCCGTGTGATCATCCGATCACACGGGTCCTGCGCATTAACCTCTAGCTCCGATATATCAATCGGAGTAAGAGGAACAACGTAGGCAGCTGCCCATTGGGCAGCTGACATTGTAACAGGGAGAAAGGGGGCTAATTGCCCCCCTCTAGCAAAGATCAGTGTCATAGAATGCCCGCAAGGGATGCCATTACACTAATAACGGCGGCAGGAACATGTTCCTGCCGCCGTATCAACGAGGTGGATGGTGCCGTCTGGCTGCACCGCCCTCCCCGTTGTTAGGGAAGAGATCTGGACCCGGTTGCTCTGGGCCAATTCTCTCCCCTCCTCAATCCTGGCATCCACGAACGGAGTCATCAACCGGCCCTCAGTAATGGCAGAGGTTGCTGCCAGTAACCTCTGCCCCCGTTTCTCCATCACTTGATGCCAGATGGCATCAAGGAGGTCCACAATTGGGAGGAGCTCCCGGTCGATGCGGAGAACCTGATTTAGGCTCTCCGCAATGTTGCTAGTATCGTGGCCAAATCGACCGCCACGAAACCAAGCCTCTGCCCAAGTCTTAGGCTCAGCCTGATCGAGGTAAAGAGCCGCCTCCAAGCCGCCTTTTCGAGGGCGCTATCCCAGGCAGCCCTCGTCTTGGCCCGTACTGCAGCCCAGAAAAGGGGCTGCAGCGCCCTTCCAAACTTCTCCGTGAAGTTCTCTTTAAGGTGGTGGCAGCAATGTGCCACTACCACCCTCCCTCCCAAAGCCCTCTCTGCCTCTATGCCAAAGCCACTAACGAGCTGGCAAGGCACTACACAAGACTAGGAGGTTGCAGTTCGCGAAGCCCCTTGTCTCTATCAGAGACAAGGGTGCTCTCCTCTATCACGAGCTTAGGGAGAGCCCAACGGAGGTGGTTTAAGAACCACCCCCAAGACTCCCCGTTCTCTGACTCCACCACCGCCCACGCAAGAGGGACAAGCTCGCCGTTAGCATCTGCCAACGGCGAGCAGTAACGTAAGGATAAAATGGGCCTTTAAAAAGGTCCCGTCCACTGCTACCAGCTGGCGGCAAAGAGTAAACGTGCCCCTCGAAACCGAGCAAAGATGCGCTTAAAGCGCATGTGGATATCCCGAAGGAGATCCACATGTGCCCTAGGAGACTCCCTCTTAAGGAGCTCCTTGTAGACTGGCAACAGCTTGGAGCAAGAGGGCGCAGGAATGCCACAGGCGGCATTCCTGCGCCCTCTTGCAGTCAATCTCCTCCGCAAATCACGCAGAGGAGATCTTTAATCTCCTTTGGGGTGGTCTTCGTCGTCACATTCAGGTGACGATAGACCACCGGATCCAGCCAAGCATTCTTTAACGAAAGGCAAACTTCCGCACTTCTCGGCCGACGCAGGAGTGCTCTGGCTCGATAATGGTAAGGGCCTATAACGAGGGCTCCTTATCATCATCGTAAAAGGTGGGTGTAGCTCGGCATCGCCAGCTACACCCATCCTCCTTCTCTGCACAGATGAAGGAGGCCTTTGTAGCCTCCCTCTTCTCCGTCCGAAAGGAGAATTTGCCCTTGACAGCCCAGTCATCAAGGGCCCGAACAAGGGCGTCGAGGTCGAGAAACTCGGCCTTATCCGAGGGGACCGAGAGCCCTGCGAGCGAGGCCATATCGGCCAAAGGGAGAGGGAGGGAGGGAGAGACGCCTCGTCGAGTGCTTCCGAAGGTCGCCGTGGAGGGAGGAGGTGGACGCGCGACGCGTAAAGTGGAATCCTATTAATAGTTAGTACAGGGTATATTAATCTTTTTCACTTACCTGCACGGTATATGGATCTTTTGCCCTTAAAATAAAGGTTGCTTGCTTACCTGTGGCGTGCATAATAACTAGGCAAATTACTTAGAGCAAGAGATACAAGAGATAACTCTACTAGTTATAATTTACTAGTATCTTATATTCAGCCAAGTTGACTATACCTCTACCCTCCTAGCCAAACAAACGCCATCCTACGTTCCCATTTCTCTACTTTCCCTCCGCCCATTACCCCCTAACAAGCCCCCCTTAAAACACCAAACCAGACAACAACCCCCTTACCAAGACTCCCACATCTGATCCCCCACCGCCACAACCCTATTAAAAAGCTCATCCCTCATCCCCACCGCCGTCAACAAAAACTCCCCCTCCGCCCCCACAACCACCATCCCATCCGCAACCTCCCTCCCCGTCGCCCACCCCACAACCATCTTCCCTCCCCACCCCAACCCCCCAACCTTCTTCACCTCTTTAATCCCCCTAACATCAACACTCCACCCCTTATCCCCCCCCTCTTTCGTCCACCTCAGTACCGGTTTCGGGCCGTCCGTGTCAAGAACAGCACACCCTCTCGACCCCTTATACCTAGCCGGAAAACTCCTCGGCCCCGCAGGTGGAAGAGGGGAAGATGGGACAATGCCTAACCGCTTCTTAGCGTGCGGTGCACCGGCTGCGGCTTTAAGCCTGTCGGCACCAATCATAGTCTCCACGCCGCCGCGGACGGTTCTGCGGAGGAAGGCGACGAAGTGGCGGCCGCGCTTTTTGGGCTTCTCTTTCTCTTCTTTTTTGGCTTTTTCTTTTTCGGCCTCCAGTGATGGTGAGGGGTTGACGGCAGCGTCGATTTCGGATTGGGAGGCATCTAGGTTGTTAGCTTCAGCTACTCTCTCTCGATCTAAAGGGGTAATGGGGCCAAGAAACTCACCTAAATGCTCGAGATCCTCCCCAGCCGTATCATGCGGGACATCACGCAGCTCCTCATGCCCCTCCGGCGCCGGCGGCAAGGGCGCATTATGCTTCTCCCCCACCCTCAACAAGGTAATCATCAACTGCGCATTCGTCGGCACGCCCTTGAGCAACGAATTCCTCAACTTCAACATGCGCTGCCAATCCGGATTCTTAGCATCCAACCACCCAATCGCCCTTTCTATGACCGGCCCCCCAAAAAACCCAAATCCAACCGCAAAAGAAGTCCCCTTCACAACCGCATGCGCGCTGGTAAACAACGACACCATCAATAGCGGGGACAGGATAGCAGCGAGTCTTAGCCGCGGCGCGAGCAATGGGAATGGCGCGGTGGGAGATAAAGCGTTAGCCAGTCGCTCGTAGGTATCCGTCGTATCGGAAATAGCGCGCATGACAGGGCGCGCTTTCGCCCACATCGCTGCTGACATGGGCTCTTTCGTTTTATCGCCCTTGCTGCCGGGTTTCCCTCCCGCGGCTTTCGTCTGCGCATCCGCGGCTTCGAGGGGGGCTTCCGTTGGGTCGGGGACTGCGGCGTCGAGTGTGCTTTCTTTCCCTTCAGCAGAAGAGGAGGACGAGGGAGGGGGTTGATTCCCTTTTCCTGCAGCGCTACTAATAGCAATAGCTGAGAAGGCCGTTACGAAGTTTGAGGCTTCCTGCTCGACTGCCTCCCCAGGGTGGCTTTCAGGCGCGCCGGTAAGGGAGTCATCACTCCCCAGTATCCCCGCAGCAGGACTCTTGACGCCCCCACTCGAGGAGTCAATCAACGCTATCGGCGCTGGTGGGAACGCAATCTCCCTTGTGCTCGGTACGAGGGTAAGGACCATCATGAAGGCGGCAATGGTAGGCACGAGCAGGTTATACACCCACGCCACGCCGTAGACAGCGAGGAAAGCCATCGTGCGGGGTTGCTCGCGCCAGGAGCGGAGACGCGCGATGTGCTTTACGGCCGTCATGATGCCGACTATTAGGGTCATGTAGAGGCGCTCTATGTTGGCGCGGAGCTTATCCGGAGAGAATTCCTCGATGGGGGAGATGTTTAGGTCCAGGGCGTCCATGGGGGATGTGGGGGTTGTTTTGACATGTTGGATTTGCTGGACGGGGGGTTAGTGGTGAGGTCGGAAAGGGGGACGGGGAGGAAGGGTTACCTTATTAAAACGCCGCAGGAGCACCCAGAGGTCGTCGTTGGGGAGGCCAGCGATAAGGGGGCGCGGGATAGAGCCAGAGTCGTTGTGCCATCCCAGATCGCGCACCGAGGATGCGCTGTGGGTTTGCGCATACCCCTTTTCCTCGGGCTCAGTGGCTGCGAGGGCATGGCTGTTTGTTGGCTGGTCCTCTGGTGCTGTAGCGATGGGGTTTATGGCCTGGACAGGTTGGACTTGTGGCCCGATGGGGTTATCGTAACTTCTCGCAAACGCCAATGGCGCTTGCTCACCAGCGATCGGTGTTCCGCTTTCCATTCTGGAAAGTATAAAGCTGTTCTATCTTATAATGTGCGTCCTTGCTCGAGACTTGCATATGTCTTGAGGTAATGCCAATAGGCAAGGCGTGTGTTGGAATGCTTTAATTCTCAAAGTCTGGCCCAGGCACAGGGGATGGAGGGGTTGTGATGTAATCGCTCCCAGCACACTCTGGTCCTGATAGATCCACCTACAACTCCACGTTTGGATCTGGGCACGAGCCTGGGCACGATCGGAGCGAATATGGGATTTTAGGATCGTATGGCGATTGAATTTCGAGGGCAGTATATTTTATTTTATAGACGCAGCTTAAGAGTTGTGCCTAAAACAGCCCCATCGCCCATAGTATTCCTAAAATATAGTCCTCTGCTTTCCTCACTAGCAATATTAATTCGACCTACCTTCCAGCCGCCTTTCAAGACGTTTCGCCTGGCTACTACATCTACCCGCCTTTTAATTTGGTAGGCAAGGGGTAGTTATATGAGAATTATAGTTCTGATAGCCGAAAAGTTTATTTTATTCAGAGTTGTAAGGCCTTTGGGAGGCACTAGTATTCACAAAGCCCATAAAACATTATATCCGTCAGCCGTTGGAAGCCATGCCTATGCCTATGTCCATACCCATCCGGCAATTTGCCCATTTTGACCATCATAACCTCATAATACCCTCCCATAGCCCAGCCAATCCCAATCCTAATCCCATGCCCATATCCCAATCTCAACATTCCTATCCCTTATCCTTACTGCCCACCCTCATTCTTCTCCGAAAACCCCGCCTTCTCACCACCCCCAACCCCACTCATCTGCAACGCCCTCTTCCAATCCTGCTTATCCCAGCTCTGCGTGCGTCCATACTTCGGCTTCCACCCCTCCTTCCCCTCTTCTTTCCTTCCGGGCCCCTCACCAGCAGTGCGATGAGCCAGCCCCTGGGCCTGCTCCGATGTGTAGACCGCGGAGTGCGGGTCTGTGGATGTGTCGTCGAGGGGGGAGCGGAGGATGGGTGCTTTTGCGTCAGGTTCGAGGGGTGTGACGGAGAGGGGGGCGTGGGGTGTTTTGGTGGTGGAGGAGTGAGTTTGATGGGTTGACATGGTGGATTTTCGGGTTTGGATGGTAGTGGTTTGGTTTGTGATTCGTGATGGTTGTGTTGACGCGGTGTTAAAAGGTTGGCAGAAGTGTGTTTTCTGGAGGAATGTTAGCTCGGACGCGTCGATTTCGTGAGTTGGGTCGGAGATGAGAACCTACAGAGTAGCGGGGTTGCTGGTGGTAGTATAGGTAAATTAAACAATTGATTCACTTTGAGATGGAGAACTGGAGGAGAAGAGGTTGTCATGCAAAGATCGGTATTTAGGGAAATTGACGACTACAAACCGTTGAATTGCTTCCTGTCGAAGCCACCACTATCCTGGCTTCGAAACATTGGAAATACGAAATACGACCAGTGACGTTGTCAGTTACGTGAGACTTACTTAATCGGGACTAGCGCGCCATTACAACTGCGCTAACCATCTAGTGCGGGGAACTCTCTTCGATAAGCGTCGGAAGCCGATAAGAGCTTTCCCATAATGTTTTAGCGCAACCAGCAAACGGGAACGTCTTTTTCTCAGAAACAAGGCAACAAGGGCTATCTATCTCAAGTCGCTCATTTATATCATCATCAAGTCATCGCTTTTCATCGGAATTTCTCTTTGAATTCGACCCCCTATTCTTTCTACAAGAGTTACTCTCAAGTAAACTAATGTCCGCCTACACCTGCGATTATTGGAGAGACCACCGCCGCCATGGTATTGACGCGCGCGCAAACGGAAATAAAAAATCAAACAAAAACTCCTTGGCTATGCAGCTTGGTGTGGTAATAAACTCTGACGGTAAGGGTTCTGGCCTAGGTGCCATATTTCATATACAGTAAGTCGGATCGGTTGCCGCTCGAGATATGCAGCATTCACTTGCTCTCAATCATGGCGTTCTTGGCTTCTTCCAGTAATATTGCTGCGTCTGGTTAGTTGCTGGTCGAAAAAGAGAGGGCAAACAATGAACATACCTTGTGTGATTTACGGCAGTTTCTCAACGACGGCTTCCTCAGCCCGTCAACAACAGCAGCCCTACGGCTCTCATCCACATCCTCATCTGGGATGTAATAGTATTCGCTCTCTAGTTGCTTTCCTGCAGCATCCTTTCCTTCACGGTGGATCTCGCCGACGCAGGTGGTTGCTGTGAGGGCGCGGTGAAGCTCTTCCTTGGTCAGGCCTTTGTTCTCTGGGTGCGAATCACTGATGCCCCTCAAATCGGAAGGTAGGTTGTTGAGGATGACGGACAGCGGCGTCGAAGACAGGCGGGAGAAGGCGAGCTGGTTGATTACATGGTTCACGAATGGCTTTGGCTCAGCATTGTTGGTGGATTCCGACTCTGAGCGTTTTTCTGGGGATGGAGAAGATGCAGCGGACGATTCTTGCGATGCACGGCCAGATTCAAGTTGTGGCGTCTCACCCGCAGTGAAAGCAGCCATTCTGGAAGAAATATCCGCACCGAAGGGACCGAAAGAGTGCACAATTGGGTCGTTCTCCTCATCCGGGTCCTCCTCGCCTGCGCCGCTCAACTCGCTCGATTGACTGGCGCTCAAGTCTGCAAATGGCTCCAATTCCTGCGGCGATTGCAGCTTGACCTCTGGCTCTGCATCGGAGCTCGCGTCTTCATAGACCTCAACTGTGGCATTGGTGGAGTGGCTTTGGGAGAAAATGTTTGGCAGATTGCCACTGGTGGAATTGCCTGCTGGAGTCGGCGATACGGGCGATACAAGGCGTTGTCCCATTCTCAAGGGGCTCGATGGCATAGCCACGCCCAGGCCGACCAGAGCACCCTGTCTCCTCGGAGAGTCCAGTTCATCCCAAGCGGAAGTAGTTTCCGAAGCAGCTTGGCGGCGCCGAGGCCACGCGACGAAAACGCGTGCGTCTTGTACATCCAGCATTATCTCTGCGGATTCCGTTTCCGACGTGAAGCTGTCGCCCTTCGCCAAATCCCAGCTGCGTCCATGGCAGTGCACCTTCATTCCATTCCAGCCATTGCATATTATCTCAACCTTGCTTGTTCCGAGAGACGAAGTCGCGGCAATAAAACGCGCTCTGACGTGGATTCGCGAGATGAGCTTGTTGGCTGAGAGCTGGTATTGCGATGAATTGCGCGATCTTCCCATGAGGAACTCGTCACCATTTTCGGGGAGGACGACGGTTGGGACAGCAGAAAGTGGTGCTCGCTCCGAGTGCATGGATTGGCGTCGTTGGATCGATGGCTTGTTTTGGACCCTGGGCGGAGATGAGGACAAGATACCGGTGGTGGAGGTTGGGACCGGAGTAGGATACTTCGAGTATGCATTTCGCTGAGAAGGAGAGTAGAGTGCTTGACGTTTCGCTGGTCGTGGGAAGCCAGGCGACGAGGATAGCGGCTCGAAAGCTGGCAGCAGGGAAGGAGCAGGCCTTTTCACACCGGCCACTGGAGGCAGTGTTGGAAGCATGTTAACCTTCAATGGGCTCTCTTCCATCATGTCCACGGTTTTCTTCCCAAGATCGGGATTTCCTGAAGTTGTGGTGGAAAGATCCTGCAACCGCGTCTCGACGCGATACGTGGTCTGGTGGGGGCACGCGAGAAGATATGTGTTGGAGTTTGTAAGAGGCGACGGAACAAATAATGTACAAACACACAATGATCAAAATACCAGATCAAAGATACGACAGCAGTAACAGTAAGAAGAAGGTCAAGAAAGAGGTCGGGAAATAGAGGCCGCTTGCTGGGTTTTGAGGGAGGGCTAGAGTCGCGGTCACGAAAGATTGGAGCAGTGCGAGTTATGTGAGAAGCTGGGTCCAACACGGTACGCCCACCGCGCGCGTTTTTACGCTAGGAAGCGACGCTCCTCCCTGCGTACACTTTATACCTTTATACAGCTACTTAGCAATGTCAATCCAGGGATTAATGTGTATAAAGAAGTGAATTGGATTTGTGACGGCATCCGAGAAATTCCAGACATTATTGAATTGGCACTGGAAAGCCCCAATTGATGGCGTATCCTCCTGTTCTCTTCCGCCGAGATCGTGCACTTCTACCATTTTTACAGCTTCCACGGTCCTGTCCTGTGTCTCTCCCTGGAGCTCCCTTTAGGATGCAAGCAGCAGGATTCACATTATAACTGTCATTAAGGGGCCCAGACACCTACGCACATCTCCTGAGACGCATCTCAGATGTTCGTGATTCCACTGATTCCACTGATTCCACAGACTCAGACGCGCTTCGGCAACGCTCCACTCTCATAGCCCCATCCTGCCCAACCTCCTGACCCAAAAAAGTCGCGATACCTACACATTTCCACGACACAATACTTTACATACCGATGCATTATACTCAATTCGTGCCCTTCCTCATGTGCGATGCAAGTGCCTCTCCGCTCCGTGTGCAGGGCGGTGAGGACCCCTAAGTGTTTCTACGCGCCGATGGGGCATATGCACGATTGAGACTTCATAACCAGCTATTAGACGTCTTACCTCTAGCGACCCATGGCCTGCAGTTGCGAACGGAAAACCTGTAGTTTGAGTGCCCAGAAGGTCTCGCGTGTCTGATTACTAGAAGACACTCCCGTAAGACATAATTATACCTTAATGCACGTCTGCTGGTGGACTGAGCTTTTTCATCGTTCGCGGTAGCTTTATGCCCCCCAGAGGGTCCCACTTTGCTCTTATTGAGCCTTTTCTGCGACGCGTCTTGAGCCGATATTACGCCTTGATATGGGCCCTGTGGTTGACGAAAGGAGGATCTTAGGTCGCCTTCTCTCTGAGATTGCACGATAGTTGAGCCGGGCTATGAGGAGTAACCGTAATTGAAACGGTATTTTATATAGATATCGTCCCTGTCGTGTGTTATAATAGATACCTTGATGGTGATGGATCCAAAGGCCAGCAAACCCCTTTTGGTGAGCTCTGCAACGGCAACAAAGTTGATATTTAGGCACAAACCTCAAAAGGGATCAATAAATGTCTTTGACCTCCTTCACTGTGCATGGTGTTTGTGGAGTTATGGACGTGATGGGTGAAGCTATCCACAGGGGACAAGGCACAACAAGGCCGAGGTTTGTTTTCGATCTGGAAGCTATTTTGACAGCCTTGCGCTAACCCCCAAATTACGGCCAACCACATACACCATCTGCGCAATCATCTTCGGTAGAAATTTCAACCATCCAAAAACTTTAAAGTTTATCATTTGAGGCCGAGATCAGAGTACTCTGATCCTAAATAACCACCCCGAATACCTCAAAATGGCACCTAAATCTACCACTCTCACCACTAAGGTGGAATCTGGATCGCCGTACCAGCTTAACTCTGCGCAGGTATTTACCAATTCCCCCCACTGAATGCTTCATAAGGATCCAGATTTTCTAACATCTTTTTCGCAGACCTTGAAAGCCTCAAAAGCTCTCATCAAGCACATCAAGACCTCCGAGAAAGGCTCCGCCGAGAAATCCGGAAAGCGCGACCTACTAGCCGGCGACGATGAAGAAGACAGCGACGACCTCGACCAAATCCCCATCTGGCTCAACATCACCACCAAGAAGCACATCGTGGACACCAAGCGCCTGAAGCCCGGCAAGATCGCCCTCCCCCACTCCCTCAACTCCTCCCCCACCACCACCATCTGCCTGATCACCGCCGACCCCCAGCGCGCGTACAAGGACATCGTCGCCTCGCCCGCCTTCCCTGCCGAGCTGCGCGCACGCATCACCCGCGTCATCGGCCTCAAAAAGATCAAGGCCAAGTACCACCAGTACGAGGCGCAGCGCCAGTTGTTCGCTGAGCACGAGTTCTTCCTCGCCGACGACCGCATCATCACCCAGCTCCCAAAGACCCTCGGGAAGACTTTCTACAAGACTACCACCAAGCGCCCAATCCCAGTCAACATGCAGGCTCCCGCCCCGCGCGCGGTGGGCAAGCACATCCCCAAGGCCCAGCGCGAGAGCGCTGAAAAGACCCTGATTGAGCCCAAGCTCCTGGCGAAGGAGGTCGAGAAGGCTTTGTCGGGTGCGCTGGTTGCGCTGTCGCCCAGCACGCAGACTTCAGTGCGCATTGCGGCTGCGGGCTGGAAGGCACAGGATGTGGCTGATAATGTCGAGGCGGCTGTGAAGGAGATAATTGAGAAGTTCGTGCCGCAGAAGTGGAGAGGCGTGCGCGCTCTGCACATCAAGGGCCCGACCACGGCGGCGCTGCCGATCTGGCTTGCTGACGAGCTGTGGGTTGACGAGAACGATGTGCTTGAGGACGAGGTGGAGGAGGCGGAGGAGGTGGCCGAGGCGAATATTGGGAAGAAGAGGAAGCGGGTCGCGGGTGAGGAGACCGAGGAGCCAAAGACCGATAAGAAGGCGAAGAGAGAGAAGAAGGTGCTTCTGGAGAGCAATGATAATAACCTGGATAAGGAGATTGCGTTGAGGAAGGAGAAGCTGAAGAAGCAGAAGTCGGAGGCGGCTAAGAGCGTCGTTGATGAGCTGCCTGTCCCGGCGGCGAAGGCTGAGAAGAGCAAGTCGAAGAAGCGCAAGGCGTCTGATTAGAGGGTTGTAGTATGTGGAGCCAAAAAAGGAGCAAGGCAGAAACAGGCATGTGGCGGCGTTGATGGAGTTTTGGCAGATGCTAGTTATGACAGTGTAGGTTATTTTTGCAAAGCATAAGTAGAGTAGTACAAGACATTGGAAAAAGTATTCTTATAAAAGCAGTCGTTCTCATTGCCATGCAGCGTGATTAAAAGAGTGAACATGGCAAGTCTGATCGTATCAAGCAATAGTGCTGCAACATATATATTCATACCATTTATTCTATCTACGACTCCAAAACCATCCTCCAACGTACCCCCTCAGCGTCTAGGCCGCTTAAACCCCCTCTCATGCCTAGCACGATACCCATCCCGCTGCCGATTCCTCCCATCCCTCCTATCCTCCCTCCTCCTCTGCTCACTCGCCAACGACCTCGGCGCCGCCTCCTCCTCAACCTCAACCTCATACTCCTCAAACTCATCCCTAAAATACTCCACCACCACCTCCTTCTCACTCCTCGCCTGCAGCCCATCAAGCATAAACCTCACCGTCCCCTCCTGCCCCCTCGCCCCCGCCCTCCTCCCCGACCCCGCCGACCGCGGCGACAGCGTCGCCGGACTCGCCACATCCCCCGCCTTCCCATTAACCCGCACCTCGCTCGGACTCGCCGGCGTAATCGGCGTAATCGGCGTCTTCAGCCCCTTCACAGCACCATTCCCCTTTACCTCGCTCCACTCCCCGAAGCGCGGGATACGCAGCTCCTCAGCCTCCTGGTTGAGCGCGATGCGGATGCTGATGAAGCGCTCGATGGTGTACTGGCTCCCTAGCTTCGTCGCCTTCTGGAAATGCGTGTGGAGCTCCAGCAGGTCGAGCATGCCTTCCATGACGTGGGCGCGGGGGACGCGCCACTTGGTTTTGTCGAAGGCGGCGAGCTGGTCTTCTTGCTTGGAGAGGAGGCGGCAGGAAAGCTCGAGGCAGGCGAAGGACATGGCTGAGGAGGTGACCTTTAGGGGTGCAAAGGTTCGGTAGAGGTCGAGCATCATTTTGTATGCTAGCTTCACCACGTCTTTATCGAGCTGGCACCGTCGACCTAGCTTGATGAGGTACTTTTGTGGATATCTGTTTCGGTAATCGAAGCCGCTGGCCTCGAGCATTAGGCGCTCAAGTCCGATGATGGTCTTGCTCGGCCCATCGAAGACGCTGTCGTCGGGGGCTAGATGTTCGGATGGAGAGCTGGTCTTGAGGTTGTAGGCTGCGCACAGAATCTCACGGGACTTCTTCAGCGTGTCTTCAATCTTGCATGCTGTGAAGAGAGCAGCCGCTGCGGCGTCTGTAGAGGCATATTCTGTATCGCGGTGAACGAGGCGGAACTTGTGGTAGTAGATGACGGCCGTATCGAATGTGCGGACGGGACTGGCAGAGGAGGGTGTTAGCAAATCCACATTTAACTCATAAAGAGGTGAGAGGCAGATACATACAGTTGAAGTGCTCGCCGAGTATCGTCAATCCATTGTACGCCCTGGAGTCTGAATGTATCTTCCCGTTGAGGGTTTGCGCCACTAGCGATTATCTGCCCTTGAATCTTCTGCTCGAAAACGAACGGCTTCGCAACCTGGATGTAAGAAGGGTGAGGGCCGAGTTTCTGGCTGTATGCGACTTCTGCTGGAGCCATAGCTGATATCATTACTTGACCAGCTTCTCCGGGTTTTGTAAAATGAAGCGCGCACTTGTAAGGCTGAGACTGAGAACCAAGTGGTGTTGAAGAGCAAGCGTGCAACGGACGGTTGACAAGGCTGTGCCTTGTCGTGGACATGTCGCCCACACCTTGGAGGCGAATAGAGGTGGTGACGACGCACGCTCTTGTCTCAGCAACTCTCCGGCTACAACTTGAGCATAGTCCTCAATCTTGTGCCTTCCACAACATAGAAGCTGGCCTTCAATTCCATCTCATCCGCATCAATCACCACCTACCATCGAAAACCACTCAAAATGTATCACCTCCCAACAACCCTCCTCACCCTCGCCCTTGGGCTCGCCTCCACCACCACCGCCCCCCCCGCCACCACCGCCTCCGACGACTTCATCACCCCCCTCCCCCTCATAATCTGGCACGGCCTCGGCGACTCCTTCACCAGCGCCGGCATGCAAGAAATCGGCTCCCTCGCCTCCTCCATCCACCCCGGCACCTTCGTCTACAACATCCACCTCTCCCCCAGCGCCTCCGGCGACCAACGCGCCACCTTCTTCGGCAACCTCACCAGCCAACTCGAACAAGTCTGCGCCGACCTCGCCGCGCACCCCATCCTCTCCACCGCCCCCGCCGTCGACGCCCTCGGCTTCTCGCAGGGCGGGCAATTCCTGCGCGCGTACGTGCAGCGCTGTAATTTTCCGCCCGTGAGGAGTCTGGTTACGTTTGGCAGCCAGCATAATGGGATTACGCAGTTCCAGACGTGTGGGCCGAGTGACTGGCTGTGTAAGGGGGCGAATGCGATACTAAGAGGCGGAGTGTGGAGTGCGTTTACGCAGTCGCGGTTGGTGCCAGCGCAGTACTTTCGCGATCCGGAGGATATGGAGAGTTACCTTGCGAACTCAAATTTCTTGGCGGATATCAATAATGAGAACGAGGTGAAGAATGAGGGGTATGCGGCGAACCTGAGGAAGTTGGAGAACTTTGTGATGTACCTCTTTGATGAGGATGTGACGGTGGTGCCGAAGGAGTCGGCGTGGTTTGCGGAGGTGAATGGCACGGAGGTCACGCCGTTGAAGGAGAGGTTGATTTATACGGAGAATTGGCTCGGGTTGAAGGAGTTGGATGAGGCGGGGAAGTTGAAGTTTTTGACTGTTGAGGGTGGGCATATGAGGTTGAATGATGAGGTGCTCAATAGCACTTTTGGGAATTTCTTTGGGCCGGAAGGCAGATCCTTCGACCATGGCAAGAAGCAGCAGGGGCCCGAGGAGCTGTAGATCAGCATCCAATATGTTATAGCTATGGTGTACGGGAAAGGTTGGCGGCGTTGCGGCTAGGTTTGGGTTATGAAGAATTGGTGTATTTGCCAAACCCAATGTTTTATCAAATTCCAGAGCGGGTTTTTCCAGCAGAAGACTTGCAGCTTACTCCGAAAATAAAAACTGGAACAGCAAGTTATCTCTGAACCAGTTCATCTCACATTATCTTCTACTACCCATAAGTCTTAATTTGAAGGCGTTTTATTTCTGAATATCTAGTGCATCGAAAGCGGCCCTGACAACGAGGAACCGCCTACAGCTGGGAACTTGGACACCAAAATAACCCCACCCTACCCTCCAGTAAAAGAGACACATCCCATACGCTGACTCAATGCAACTACCCCCTTCCTTCGCCCCAAACTCTCTCCCTGCAATTTCATAATCGGCAACACGCGGCTCAATGTCCGCTGTCCGTGTCACCACCCCTTCCCTCCCTCTTCGTGGCGCCTCCCATATATCCCACCAGTTTTTCACAGACACTTTGTTCCTTACATCCCACCCCATCCCATATATTCGACCTGCGATCACAAACGCAGACCATGCTCACCAACACGACCTGCGCCGACCCCAGTCCTAGTCTCTACAAAGGTCCGATCCTCGCCCAGATCTAGTTCGTCTTCCTGGCGGGCGCCGGGCTGCGACCAGCGTATCGGCCAAGATCAGTCACATCGTGGAACTGCTTCGCGCCGTCCTTGATAGTCTCCCACACCTGTCTCACGACGGGCGGGATTCCCTGACCGCCGACGAGAGCATCCACTCGTGCAGACAGGCTCTGGAACTGGAACTTGACGAAGCTGCTCTGAGAGAGGCGGGCGCGCAGGAAGGCCGTGTACAGCGTCAACAAGATCCAGGAGCCACGGGAGAAGATGATGGCTGAGCCGAGGAGGCGGAACCACAGCACGATCTCGAGGACAGCCACGAGGCCCATGGACTGGTCATAGTAGTCCTTCACGAAGTGGCCGATGCGCTCAGCGAGCGCGGAGGGCTTGTAGGTTGGCTTCGCGGAGGGCGAGGTGCCGGTTGGGGGCACGATGGCGGCGGGGGGGTTGATGGTGGGGATGAGGTTGGTGCGCGAGTAGGTCGCGACGTGGAAGACGGAGTAGACGCCGAATGGGAGCATGGCGAGGGGATACTGGGGGGAGAAGAGCCAGACGAGCGCCATCACTGGGGGAGAGATTAGCACATGTCGCTCCAGAGGCCAAAAAGCCAAAAAGGCGGTCAATGACGTACCAAGGTATTGGACATTCTCGTCCGCGGCCAAGGAGAGGAGACCTGCCTGGGCCTTGCTGCCGGCGCGGTTGCGCGCGCGGAATGCCTTGTACACCACGATGCCGTAGGTGGCTGCGGCGGAGACGAAGGCGGTGCGGTACGAAAATTGGGCCCAGGTCGAGTAGTAGTTGAGGGTGAGATATGACAAGCTGTAGCGGAGTATGCAGAAGAGGAGCGAGAGGTGGCTGCGAGCTTCATGTCAGCTATTTCTTCATGTTGGGGCAAAGCACTGCTGTTCTGCGGGGTATTTTTTTCCGAGCTCTGGCCAGGTATCTCGAACTTGTGTTCGAGCTTTTGTGTCGCTTGGAGCTCGAGAGGACTCGGAATAAGAAAGGTTCGACGTACCCGACAAACCAAGCAACTGGGGATTCAATTAGCATGAGCGATCAAGAGCGACGAGAGCGCATAACGTACATTGTAGTGTCTGTGCCAGGGCCAGTAGCCTCTGGGACAACGGCAGAGCCGAGTTAGGTGGATGAGGCATGGCGACGTGATCTGGCCTGTGTGTGAGCTTTCGAGTCCGGGGAAACACGTAGCGCAGCTGGAGCAGAATTATAATTACCAGAAGGTTAAAGTATTTGAAGTCGGGAGAGGAGAGAGTTCGTAGGGAATGTAGGGTGGAACGAGAGAGGGTTATGGGGGTTATGGGGGTTATGGGGGTTATGGAGGTAAGAAGAGGTGAGGAGCGAGCCCGTGTGTTTGAGGTGGTTGATGTGAGGAGGCTGGGCTGCGCAGTCTACTGGAGTAGTCGCACAGGTTAGCTGCTGCCACTCGCTTTGCCGTCATAGGGCGATTAGGAACGATTATGGGGCTACTATGGATCCCGCACACTCACTCACAAAAAGCACAATACAGTAACTAACTTACTTTATTTAAAAAGTTATAATTTTGCGCTTGAAGCCCGTCGACTTTATGAGTGACAAAAAGGTTAATTAATATGCTTTGCGATTTTATTTGTTATGCACGAAGGGAGAATAAGGGCAAGGGATAGCTGACTGTTTCGTCATAGGGACGCTTCAGCCACACCGTTGATGACCGAAGTTATGACCGACGAAGTTACACTTGTCTGGCCCAAAGAGCTGCATTGGTCGAATATATTCTTGCAATGCTTCCTTCATTGGAAACCGCTACTCTAAGAAGTCAGTTGTACGGAGTAGATAAGAGTCAATCCCATGCGATTCCGTATTTTATAAAGCCGCAAACTACGACTGAATCCGGCACCAAACTCAAACCAAATCCCCTCCTTGCTGATTGCCCATCGTTCACAGCGGACGTCACTATTAGTATTCACTTATCTCAGCCACACCAGTCACAATTAAACTCCCATTCAGATAAGAAAATGTGATTGTTCTTCTACTTCTACGGGGCGAGGAGAGAGTAACTAAGGTGAGTGATGCAGAAAACTAAAAACTACCAAAGAGAACCCCGCGATATGGGGTATGACGTCGACTATTTACAACCAGTAACTCCCAGTTTGCCAACTCTCAGTTCCCTGCATTGGGTAATTGTGTGTGTGTGTGGGGGGGTTGTGTGTGTACAGGTATTGGCGTCCACCCCCACTGTATGACCCACCCAACCCGCGGGGTCGACCAAAAATCCATTCTTGTAAGAGTTGTAGCTAGGGCCAGTTCTAACTTTCTAACTTAGAGCCCCACAGCTCCCTTCCCATCAATACCACCGGTGCGGAAGAACTCTGCCACGACGCCGACGGCGTATGATAGTCCCCCAACCCATACGGCGCCGATCAGGAGCCTCTTGGCCTTCCTCTTTCCCTTCTGCCTTCGTGCTGCTCTATCGTACCATTTCTGGTCTTTCCAGCTAGATCCTGAGCTACCGTAGCTGTGGCTACCGTGGCCAGATTCCGTCCCGGGCTTGATATGATATTCAGGAAGATCGTGGTTCACGAAGCCAGTTGGGCTGGCAAAATTGCCGGTCGCGGGGCGAATGGATTGCATGCCGTCGATTGGGTTTGTCACATTTCTAGCCCGAGTATATGTTTCGGCCTTGGCTGCTGGGCTCCCCAGAGGCGGGCCGTCGCGGACCTTTCTGAACACAAGCACATGCCCATCCCCAGAAGCAATTTCATAGCCCTCATCTAGCAGCGGCGCAATATGTGGAAGGAAACTTGCTGGCTTTGATAGCCGAGGCAGGACCGAAGCTGGAGAGAGGGGCTTTCTGTTGCCAGGCGGTACGATAGATGTCGTTTCAGTGGTCAGAATGGATTTCGTGTCTGGGTTATAGGCAACAATCTTGTAGAGCGTTGGTTGCGGTTCTTCTGCGCCGTAAGAATCCTGATATATGCTCCGTAATTCGTTGACGAGTGCCTTCTTCAGTCTAGCTTCCTTGTCGCGTTTGACATTTGCTTTCTTGCCTTTGGATCCCTCCACTGCTTTTGCAGCTGCTGACAAATCTGTGCCGTATGAAGTAACAAAAACAAATGGCTCAGGCTCTGCATCCTTAGCACTGGAACCTGCTTGGTCTCGCTCCGGAGGAGACTCGGAGACAGGCATCTTCCCAGCTTCACGTTGGTCTAGCTCGGCAATCTCTCTGAGACGGGCATCTACTTTCCCACGAAGATGTCCCTGGTGGTTCAGCAATTCGCTTCTTTCAATCTCAAACTCCTGAGCACGTTCGCGCGCGACTCGGATTTTATCACTCTTTGCAACAGCCTCAATGTCCTTTGAGAACTGGGCCGAGGATGTCTCAAAATCCTCTTCCATCTTTCTCCTCCTCGCCTGTTTTTCTTTATTGGACTCTTTCCTGGAGCTCTTTATTATCTTAGACGATGTATCTTTGGAAGTACGCTCAGCATCAAAGTCTTCATCGAAAAAAAAGTTGTCATTTTCGAGTCTGGGTTCCCATTTCTGGTCAAATTCGTTAAGAGCTTTGTTGACCGGGTCTGCTGGGGGTGGAAAATGTCCGTTTGGCTCGTTGTGTCGGAAAGGTACGTAAGCATCAAGCTCAGGGTCCCATTTCTGATCTAATTCGTTTAAACCCTGCTCCACAGGGTCAGGCGGTGGCGGAAAATGTCCATCTGGCTCATTGTGTCTGAAAGCGCTGTTGGCATCAAGCTCGGGGTCCCATTTTTTATCAAAATCTTCCAGAGCTTGGTCCACAGGGTTGGGTGGCGGTGGAATATGTCCATTTGGCTCATTGTGACGGAAAGCTGTATAGGCCTTAAGCTCGGGGTCCCATTCCTGGTCAAAGTCATTTAAAGCTTTGTTCATTGGGTCAGGCGGTGGTGCAAAATGTCCATCCGGCTCGTTGTATCGAAACGGCTTGTAAACTCCAAGTTCATCAGCTAGCTGTAGTCTGTTTCCCAAGGTCCCGCCAGCAGAATCTGCTGACACTGGTGGGTGTCCATCTGGCTCATTGTGTCGGAAAGCCTTGTAGATGCCAAGTTCTTCCTTTAGCGATCGTCCATTGTTTAGAGCCTGCTCAACAGGGTCTGGCGGCGGTGGAAAATGTCCATCTGGTTCATTATACCGGAAAGGCTTATAGATGCCAAGTTCTTCCTCTAACGGCCGTCCATTGTTTAGAGCATGTTCAACAGGATCTGGTGGTGGTGGAAAGTGTCCATCTGGCTCGTTGTATCGGAAAGGCTGGTAGTCGCCAAGCTCCTCTTCCAACGGCCGTCCATTGCTTAGAGCCTGTTCAACAGGATCTGGCGGCGGTGGGAAGTGTCCATCTGGCTCATTGTGCTGGAAAGGCGTGTAAACCCCGAGCTCCTGCTCTACAGTCCGTCCATCCCGGTATAGCTCGCTGTCTGTAACATATGCGCCTTTGCTTTGAGAAGCAGTGGTAGACGGGCCATCACGTGTAGTTGTAGCGGACTGTTTTGGAAGGGGTTGGGGACCAGGGAATTGTGAGACTGGGGGTCCATGATCGTATAATTTTTGGATCGATATATGGCTCGCCGGGGTGTCGGTCTGAGCGCTCAACGTGCTAGAATCTTGTTTGAAGACCTTTCGATTTGTAATTGAATCGATTTCGTATTTCAAGTTAAGTAATCCGTCGTTGCTTGGGGTCCCACTGTGTCCATCTGTCGTAGCTTTACGCGAGGTATTGATGGACCCTGAAGTGGCGTCATTCTTGAGTTTCTGCAAATTAACCCTGGATTTGTCTTCATAGAATGCGCTGCACATGAAGCTCTTCATACTGGAATTGCTGATATGCAACCTGTGATGGCGGTTTCGGAGGAGCTGTCGATTGAGGGCTTCGATGTATGCACTCTTCGATATCTTGTGGCGTGCCTGATGACCACGCGAGCCAGGCTGGAGGTTCCAAGACCAGAATTCAAGCCTGATCCCTCGAGTCTGTTGGTGACGCCAGGGTGATCTCGAAAGTGCAGTCGATGCGACTGCCCTCGATGACTGAAGCTGTGGCAACACAGCCGTCCGGCCGGCCGGACTGAGACGTGACGCGATCATTGCAACGGCTGCCTCCCTTGTATCATGCTAGCAATCACTCTTTCTGTAGATGTCAGTCAGCAGTTATCCTCAATACCAAACGAGAGGAGAGGGCACAAGAAGCGAAGGACCTCGCGTTGGGTAGACAACAGAGAGGGTGCTTACGCGATCACGATCACGATCACGATCACGATCACGATGCCGATGCCGATGCCGATGCCGATGCCGATGTCGATGTCGATGCCGATGTCGATGCCGATGTCGATGTCGATGTCGATGCCGATGTCGATGTCGATGTCGATGTCGATCCTTCAATGAAGCTATCGGCTGAGATGCTGTAATACCTCGGTTTCCGAGATAGGGAACGAGAGCTTATATGATTGATGGTATTAGTATGTACGAGAGAAGGCAGGAACAGAGAGGAAGATGTGGTATCTTCAACTGTTATTGTAACCGGCTCGCATGGGGCGGGGTAACCTTACTCCACTCCACACTTTCACACTCCACACCCACATAAGGTGACAAGGTACCAAGGTAGAGTACTCGTATTGACCCAGAGATCGTTCTGATATAAGGGGGCGACTAGAGATAGCTCAAGATTAGTACTAGTACCAGCATTTGGAACTGGTGGATTTTATCTATTCAACAGTCCTTTCTTATTTACTAACTGTGTTAATTGCTGTAATCGCCGCCGTTGTTATCTCCAGTCCCTCTTACTTGCGCCATAAGTTACGCTTGTGTCACAATCGGTCTAGCGCGCAACTATGACGGCTGGGCTGATCACGTGCGAACGCCAAGACACTTTCTTAACTAGTGTGACGCACGCGGCGTAGGTGGGGGATGGTCCAAATCGAATCGAAAATATACTTTTTGAACAGCTATACCTTCAACTCTTCACCCCAGCGCAACGGGACGATAAAGATATCCGAGTACTTTGCAATAACTCGCATACATTTCAAATCCTTAGACGGACCTCCCAGACGAAACAAAGCTGCCTACCTGCCGACGACAAGGATGACGCTGATTTGAATACCCCCCGCAACGAGCTACCTCGAGCTACTTTTAACAAGGCTCGAGCCCGAGCGATCTAAGCTCTTTGCGTCCACTCTACAATATCAACTCCGCTACAATGAGCAAAAGACAGTTCAAGTCGCAGGCGTCAAGTAGCCGGGCCGTTTTTGGCAATGGCGCTGGGTTTGGCGGGTTTGGATCAGGGGCCACACGCAGCACGCTCTCATACCTGACAGAACCGCCGAACCTCAGCTCCATATCTGACCCGTATGTTGTAGTGGCGTTCAAGAACTTGTTGAAGAAGGATAGCACGACAAAGGCCAAGGGCTTGGAAGACCTCCGTCTACATGTCCTCTCGAGTCCGCACGAGCAGGGCGGAGGCGTGGAACAGTCTATACTGGAAGCTTGGGTGCGTCTCATTACGTTTAGGAGGCCAACGCCTGCAATGTACTATTTTAGTAATATATATCATAGGTCAAATTATATCCTCGCATCTCAATAGACAATTCCCGCCGAGTACGTGAGCTGTCGCACACCTTGCAATATGAGCTTCTCAAGTCAGCCAAAAAGAGCATGGAAAAATTTATACCCAATATTGTTGGAGCCTGGCTAGCTGGGACGTATGATAGGGACAGGCCGGTGTCAAAGGCTGCCAGCGATGGCTTGAACTCTTTCTTCGGCACCGAAGAGAAGATGCTCTTGTTCTGGCGGCGTTGCCAAGTACAGATTCTCGAATTCGCACAAGAGGCTATTTTGGAAACGCCCGAGACTCTTAGTGACGAGAGAACTGTGAATACCGACGAATCCCAAGCCAAATTTGACAGGGTTGTGGGCGCAAGTCTCTCCCTTGGCATCAATCTCCTCACGAAACTCTCCAAACAAGACATCAAAAAGCACGAGCAGGACTACAAGAAATTTATTACAGGCAACCGGATACTTTGGGGCTTCATTGCGTCCAAGGATTCGTTTGTTAGGCGGACTACTGCTCAGCTGGTTTTGATATGTCTGGAAAAACAACCCCAGTTTATCGAAGAGGATCTCGAAACCATTGGCACCACATTTATCGATGCAGGACTTCGCAGCCCCCAGTTAAGTTCTTCGCTAGCATTTACTCACGCCCTTGGGAAACTGACAGCAACCTTTCCCTCTGTGTGGACTACCTCCTACAAAGGGAAAAAGGCTCCTCTCTCCCGACTTCGGCGCTTCGTCGAGAAAGGCTCTCAGCTTGGTCCTGCCGATTATTGGAAGGCTTTGAACTCTTTGCTCGCCCATTTACCCTCAGGTGTTTTACCTACAGATATAACTGGAGCTACAGATTTCCTTAAATCTCTTGGTGATGGCATATCAATTAGGGACGAGCCGAGATTAAATGTCCCGACTGCATGGATCTGTTATGTCAACACCGTGAGGCAGTTGCAAAAGCAGTTGACAGACCCCAAGGAGCAGAACCAACTCCTGGTGGCTACTGTCTACCCCCTATTCGAGCATTTTATCCGACCAACATCGGAGGGTACTCGGTGGGCTACAAGCAACAGCACTGCAGCGCTTGCAAAAGCGTTTCACCTGTGTGCCGCTTCTGAAGCTCGCCAGTCAGACGCCCCTTTAAGCCAAGAGTGGAATCGCCTAGCAAATGAGGTGATTACCGGCATCCAGACATCACTTCCTGAGCAGTCAAAAGACTTTGAAAAGTCACAGGCATCTGTAGCCTTCGAAGCGCACCGCTGGTTCAAACTACAAGCCGAAATCTGCAAATACTTGGGGGCGGACTGTGCGGATGCAGAATTGTATAAACATATTCTAATTGAAGCGAGCGCTTCTGTCATAAGTCGTTCTTTGGAGGTACTTTCCGCAAGGAATGGCAAGCCGTTCGGTGCTGCGGGTGCTGTAGAGGGTGCTTTGCGACTTGCACCTGATGTTGTCTTGGGCTCTTTATCATCAGAGGAGGCTATAACCTCGTTTTTGAAGACGGAGCTTTCAAAGCTCGTGACTTCTCCATCAGCACCGTATCTTATAGCATCTCTCAAACTGCTTTGCACATTCCCTGGACAGGAGGCTGTTTGTTTGGCGATATGGGAGTCAACCATTAGTGGCCTTATAAATTTGCCTAATAGCACACAGCAAGCAGTTGCAGCAGAAGCTCTTATTTCGTTTGGGTTCATTAGCAAAGCAGCTCAGAAGAACGACGCCGTGCAGCAATTTCTATTCTCTTCTACATTGAGGTTCTTACAGAACGGGGAATCGGAATGGCGCCGTGTATTTGAAGCGGCCATCAAGTTCAATTGCTTTAGCAATGCTATAGACGCCCGAGTACTCGATAACATCACTGATAGTTTGGACACAGAAAATCCTGGCTTTTTGAATGCCGTTGACGCATTGGAATATGTAGTGGCTCATCGCCCGCAGCTATTAGAAGAGAGAGTGACAAGGCATATCACGGTAATGACAAAGCTACTTCAGCTGGGTGAATCGGGACATCCGGGAGTCGTCTCCAAAGTAGGATCTCTTAGATCTACCATTGGTAATATTGGGACTTCTGGTGGACTTCCTCACGAAAAGGGGTCCCCAATTGTTTCCATCATTCATGAAAATTTGGAGAGTGTAGGACCGCGGTCTCTGAGGTAAGTCTTTCTACGGCGCAATCAATGGGCCATAACTGATCATGACCAGCATTGATACTCTTGTGGCTCAAGCAGAAGGGGTCGCCACTTCTAACGGGACGACATCAGTCTCGGATCTGTTCCCAGATAAAGATAATTGGCACCAAGCCCTTCGTCCGATACTCTTAGCTTGCGGAAAAGATCTTTCGTTATCTCTGACAAATATTCTCGGCGGGACTATTGCGTTGACTTCTACTGAAAATGGCTCTTCTTCGCCCACTCCAATTGCAAGGGACCTAGATGGCTACTCTGCAGCCCTCCGAATCGCAATCTACAGCTCGAAACTTGTTGCACGGGAAAACATTCTGAAGAATGTGCCCATAAACGCTCAGATCGACATTATCTACCTACTTTGCTTAACAGTAGAGGTTGCAAACGACCAACTCGGACTTCGACGTCACGATCTCCTTTGGTTATCACTCGATGAACCAGATATTGAAGGCGACATCCAAGATTTCATCGCAACGTCTGAACGTGCTCTCGCCAAGATTTTAGATCAATCTGACGATTGGCTCCATGGCGAGGGGTCAGATATGGGCCACGCATTGGTTTCACGTCTATTTGAAGAATCTAAGGGCAACTCAACGACCGCGTTCTATGCAGGCCGTGTTCTAGCAAATGTGCTATCCAGCCTTGTCGAATCGCATGGCTGGCACACGGCGAGTGGCGAGGAGTGGCTCGCTTCTAGGGATACGCTCAAGTCGTCTACTACGAACGGGTTTACCGCAGTTGCGATTCTGGCGGGCCTCAAGCAGAGTCTCGGGTCTAGCAAGATTGTGAATAATCTGTGCAACCGTCTTGTCAGCGATGTTACTGGTCTATCTTTAACAAGCCCAAAGGCACCTCTTCTTCTGAGCCTGATGAATGCGGCGTTAGCTGTCTACGACCAAGACAGCCTCCCAGTGGCAAATAACCGGCTCGTCTTCGCTGTTAAGCAAATCACTGGCTGGCTGAAACAACCAGAGATTTTGCATCCAGTACTCGCAGCACAAGCTTCCCGCAGTTTACAGCTGTTGCTACGGGGAATCAGCGAGGTTTATGGCCCATACTGGCAGACTACTATCGATTTCTGCGTCGCTTTCTGGAATTCAAAGCCGGTTATGCGAAATGCTAATATCTTCCTTCCTGCAATTCATACGACTTTGAGATTGATCATTCTGCTCAGGGGTCTTGAGGAACCAAATGATGATCTCCTGGAAGTGTTGGAAGATGCCGAGCACGAGATATCAGAGGGCATGGTTACGCTTTTGTCCTTGAACAGGCCGGAGGTGGAGACGCAGCCGTGGAGAATCGTGAACGAGTTGATATACAGACAAGTTACAAAGGTGCCCTTAAAGCACATCAAAGATCTCTCTGATCTGTATCCGCTTGTGGCATCAGACTTCCCAGTCATACAATCAGCAGCATTTGGGATTCTGCACCGGGCACTCCCAGCCGCTCAAGGGGATATCTCCGTCAACGTACTCCTAGAGAAGAAAGACGCACAGCTCCCCGAGGAACTTTGTTCCCTCCTCGAAGTACCCCAAATTGAAAACTTCTCCGACGACATCCTATCCCAGTTCCCCCCACCTATCCGCACATACCTCCTGTCCTGGCATCTGATATTTGACGCCTTCTCCACCGCTTCCCACAAAGTCCGGAATGACTACACCACACAACTCAAAGCCGAGAACCTTATCGCTCCTCTCCTCAACCTTCTCTTCGATATCCTGGGACACTCAGCTGGTAAGCCGCTGAACCTCGATCGCGCACGCCTCAAGTCGGACGCTATTCGCTCTTATGACATAGACGTTGCATCCGCCGAGCCAGACGAGTATAACATGCACTGGCTACTAGTGCACCTCTACTACCTCTGTCTCAAATTCACCCCCGGCCTAGTCAAAAGCTGGTACCTGGAGTGCAAATCCAAACAAACCCGTCAAGCCGTCGAATCCTGGACCGAGAAATCCTTCAGCCCCCTCGTCATCGTCGACACACTAGACGACGTCGAGATCTGGGCTGCGGGCCTCGAAGCGCCGCCCGAGGACGAGAAAGAGTTGATAGTCAAGGTGTCGAAGAAGTCGAGGGAGGTGTATGCGGGGTATGAGGTTGATGAGATGACGATGCAGATTGCCATCCGCTTCCCGCCTATTTACCCGCTGGAAAGCATTAAAGTCGATGGTGTGAACAGTGTCGCTGTCTCCGAGAAGAACTGGCAGAGTTGGTTGATGATTATTCAGGGAGTCATTACATTCTCCGTACGTATCCCCCACTCCCCCCAGATGAGAAGCAAACTAACCCCCCCAAACCAGAACGGCAGCATAACCGACGGCCTCCTCGCATTCCGCCGCAACGTCACCGGAGCGCTCAAGGGCCAGACTGAATGCGCTATCTGCTACAGTATCGTGTCAAGCGACAAGAAGATGCCTGATAAGCGATGCCAGACCTGCAAGCACCTGTTTCATAGCAGTTGTTTGTTTAAGTGGTTTGCGAGTAGTAATCAGAGTACGTGCCCGTTGTGTAGGAATCCGTTTAATTACGGTACGGATGTTGAGAAGAGGGCGAGGAGGAGGGGTGGGCCGGAGGTGTAGATGGGGGTTTGAGGGGCGTTTTGAGATGGGGTGTGGATAGATATAAATAAACCATTTGTGAAGGGTGGACTGTGTTTTGTTGGCGAGTTGATGTGAAAATGTGTTTGTCTGTGAATTTCTTGTGAAAATATAATTTTCGGTCAGTTTCTCAGACAGTGTTGCCCGAGTACTACAAAACGGAACAGATTAGCACCATCTACACTACGATATAGAGATATCGTAGTGTAGATGGTGCTAATCTGTTCCGTTTCTTTGTAATAATATCGCCACCAACACTAAACACTCGCTTAGATTATGCTATTAAGAATAGTACGGGAGTATAGGCCATTTACAAAGAGGATTGAGTCAGAATCTGGTAACAGTTGATCTTGAGACCGTATAGGCAAGTGGTGGGGGTAAGAGTGGCTCTTGAGAGGCATTCTCATATTCGACCGGGTCGTCTAGGGGCGGCGGTGATAGCGAAGACTCACTCATCTCAACGATGGTAAGTATCACAGCAATATTCAAGTCATTGAAAGCTTCACTTTGCCTATGCTATAATTCTGTCTACGTCCTTACCCCGCTCTCTTGGCTGTCTTGGCAACTACTCGAGTACTACTCGAGTAATTCCTCAAGTAGTACTCGCAACGAGTAGTACTCGGGCAACACTGTTCTCAGATATAAAAAGGCCTTGTGGGAGATTCAAGTGACCTGACTACTCAACAGGAACTCTGCAATACAAGGTATTGTTCTATGTGTAATTTTAAATTTCACTTTCTTTCTCACTTTCTTTTGTGTAAACGCACTTTGCGTCCTCTGTTTATCCTACTCGTATGGAAACACGTTCTATGTCCGCTTACCTCTCCCGCTTACGCCTCTCCTGTTTACAACCTCGTCAAGCCACCTCACATTCACTATCTAGTGATGCAGCAAAGCATACTTGTGATTAGATTACCATGTTTTGATTCACATTGAGAGGTCACCATTCCATTCAAAAGTTGTTGATTCACTTTAAGTGTTTATGGCGTGCACAGACGTTATGGATATTGACTTCTCTAGATTGCCAAGATGGCCCTGGAAGTTAGTGATCTTAGTGACCAGATTCGAGACTATTAATTCGACCTGTTTAACGAAGCCCATATTCAATTTTTGGGCACGGTGTTCAGTATTGGCTTGTTACCAAGAAGCCTAGAGTCTTGTGTCTTGGAAAGAGGCCTGGATGAGAATTCCTCGTATAATATTGAAACCATCGTTGGAGTGGCAAACCTCAAGGCTGTCTCGCTCGCCGCCGACAGTCCTATACAACGTCGATTTGTTCATTCTGGGCATAAAATAGGACTATTTCATTTTTCCCTTTTGGACTACCTTCAGTTTGGTTTGCAATATGAAGACTTCTCTTCGGAAGACAGCGACGATGTCGAGGCACTCAAGTGATTGAACTGGCTATTCGCGGGGCTTATAATCTGCTTATTGGAATAACTCGCTATTCAGTTAGTAAGTCTAGAAATCGGCACTATACCAACTGTGGCTATCTAACATTGCCCAAGTCGATGGGCCAAGAGATGGTCAAAATTATTGTCGGCGAAGGAGAGGGCGTAAGAGAATTTGTGCTTCACAGGGGCCTGTTCATGGATAAGGTTATGTTCTTTGAAAAGATGTTTGGTGGCGGGTTTCTTGAATCTTGGACAAGTTCGGCAACTCTACCTGAGGACAACCCAGAAGCATTTGAAGTTCTCGCGGAGTGGATCTATCGATCCACTATAAAGTCTCTTCGTGGAAAAGGCCGTCCTAAAATGCTTCAGGCTGACCTGGCAATTTCAACAGTTGGGCTCGAAGAGAAGTACTTTATACCTGAGCTCGGTGATCGTGCTATGACCTTTCTAGCGGACATACGGAGACGCTCCACGCCAACAATGAGTCAAATGAGCACGCTCTACAAAAATACGCATTTCGATTCGAATTCCCGCATCTACGCTGCCAGGACTGTTGTGTGGGCTTTGCTCAACCCAGAAAACCACGGGGTATCTAGTCTCTCTATACAGACCGCCTGCCAAGATAGCGACCTGTTGCTCGACGCTATCACAGAAGTTAGAGGGACGTGTGGCCACAATCGTATTCGTGCTCATGAATATACAGTCTGTAACTATCACAATCACAGGGCGTCAGTTGTATGTCCTTACGAGGGGAAGGCATGAGGCGGCTGCCAACTAGCGCAACAGAAGCACATCCAGAAGCGAACTACTACATGTAACGACTCCAATGCAGAAAATCCTCCGCATAAGAACCTTACTTGAAATAAATACCTAGCTTATAAGAATTTGATGTCAGGTCCCGTCGTATTTTCTACGGGATAAACCCCCTTAATATATATGTCCGCTCCCCAGTCAGTCATTATTATGATTCATTTAGGGAGTAGTGCTGCTAACGTACTTGTGATACAGGAACACATGGGAGGTGGGTGAGTGACGGCTATCACATTGTACTGTACCGCATAATAGACGGCGTTATCTAAATATTATTCAACAGTAGCTCATGATCTAGTATTTTGTGTGAATACTCCAAAGTCATATTCGTCATATTTATTCACTACACTTTTAATAAGCGTAAGAGGGAAGCGATATTTTGATTATAATGTTGACCGCCCCCAATCTTACCACCCATATACAGCAGCAACCATGCGTCAGAAATCCAGCGCCCAAAGAAGCAGCAAGCAATCTTCCCAAGGAAAGCCTTCATTGCCTTCACTCTTTAGTGAGTGAGTATTAGAACCCATTTGTAAGATATATTCTATATTCTAACAAAAAAAGGACATTTGGCACAGAAATTGTCCAGGTCACAGTCGGCAACGACGAATTCAAGCGCACGTTTGCCGTTCACAAGAATCTGCTTGTCTCAAAATCAAGATTCTTCTCCGCCATGTTTGACAGCAACTTTCTTGACGCCGTGACATCCAGCGCTTTTTTCCCCGACGACGATCCGAGCGCGTTCGAAGTGCTCATGGAATGGATTTACTACGACAGCCTGAAAAGCATAAGTCTCAATAGCAGCCATACACAAGAAGAGGGGCAGGAGAATATGAGAAAGATAATAGCGACATTAGGACTTGCAGATAAATATTGCATTGATGAGTTGGCGGATAGGTGTCTAACAATTCTATATCACCGCTTGAGGGAGTACGTTAGCTGCCAGCTGGATCTCGACATGATCGCCTTCATATATGCAACAACTGGTCCGATATCCATGGCAAGGAAGTATGCAGCATCTGAGTTAGCAGCAGCACCACGAAACCAGGAGGTTTCTCCCCCACCACAGAAAACCCTAGTACATAGGTTTACGCCCATGCATATATGCGAAATCAGTGCAAATGCTTTCCACCACGAGATGATGCAAAACGACTCCGAGTTTTTTCAGACTAGCATCTACGAAATCGATCAGATCATTCATGAAAAGGAGTTGGTAGAGGACGAAGAAACGCTCCGCCTCATCCAGCAGAAGCTTCCGCATATGCACCGGAGGTACACCGATGTCTTTTCGAAGTTGGAATCGGATCGAATTCCCCCCCACCGCATATACGACCACAAGATACAGCTCGAAGCCCCTTTACCAAATGCTTTCTCCCCGTTATATCGACAGGGCACCGAAGAGCTTAAGGCTACCAAGCAATACCTGCTGGAAAACCTGGAAAAGGAATTCATCGTCAACAGCAACAGCCCCTTCGCGTCCCCTATCCTATTTGTGAAGAAAGCGGATGGCAAATTAAGATTTGCATCGATTACTGGAAGTTAAATGGTCTCACCCGGAATGATCCCTACCCCTGTTACGACGGAACAAGAAGGCTGGCCAACTACAGGACAGGAAGGAGGGAGGTCGCATGAGACCGGCCCTGGTACCTGGACACCACTTCCGCGCCGAACCCAAGGGTCCGTTCAAAATCAGCTATTATCACAGCCGTGGGAATATCCGAAACCTGCAAGCAGAACCGAGATATTCTAGACGACTTATTCAAGGCTATTACAACAAGGCCTCGGCCTCATGGGCCAAGTACAGGGACATGCCAATTCCATCTGCACCGAAAGGCTGCGATTTGTCCATACCGTGGGATGGATGAAGACGTTGCTGTCCGCCCAAAAGAAGACAGCTTGTACTGTAGATGCGGGAGGTCAAGGACTAGGTGTAATGAGAGGCAAGCAAGGACTGGAAAAGGGTGTCCTGCATTTGGCAGACGGAGATAGATATCCGCCGATATGAATTGAACTAGAACCAAGTATGAAAAGGCGCATGAATTATTTAATAACATCCATTCTTAATATTCACATTTTATTTTTTGCATTAGTGACTTAATGGATATAACTCCAGGGACGGTAACAACGTAGACCAACAAGATGGTTTCATACATAACTTCATTATCTTTTGTTAGATATTGAGAATATTGCTTCCGTTTTGGATGGCTTCCAATATTAATGTTAGAAATAACGGCTTGTCGTTGGATCTTGGTGTAATCCACGTGTAAGTCAGTTATGGCAGAATCGCCCCGTTAGTCTTACCGCCCACCCCACCCTCGGTATAACGACGATACTTGGGGAATGCTTGGCTTTCCGTGGAATCATATTCACGTCCGGTTCTACAAACAACGAAGCACTCCGAGTATACGACTACTTCACAACAATGCTAGACTTAGCTTTACCTTGATACTTCATTCCTCTTCAACCGAAAGACAGTATCGCCAACATCAATCGACACGGCCCATAGCCTCGCCCCGCAAATATGCTGCAGTTCCAAACGCAAGGCTATAACGGCTATGCCGTGAAATACTCGCCATTCTTTGATTCTAGAATTGCCGTCTCGGCATCGATGAACTTTGGGCTTGTAGGCAATGGCCGACTTTATATTTTAAACCTCACACCGAATGGCATTGTTGCCGAGCAAACGTAAGCCTACGACCATCCCGATACCCGCGCCCATCCCACCTGACATTGCGCTTCGGTAGCTCATACTGACAACACGCACAGATATGACACACAAGACTCCCTCTTCGACACAGCCTGGTCGGAAGCGCACGAGAACCAAGTTGCTGTTGGATGCGGCGACGGCTCAGTCAAGCTCTTCGATATCTCTGTCCCACAATTCCCCGTCCAGTCGTGGCAGGAGCACAAGCGCGAGGTTTTCTCTGTATTCTGGAACCTAGTCGCCAAAGACACATTTGCGTCTTCCTCTTGGGATGGAACTATTAAGATTGTACGCTCCCCAGTTCTCTTAGCCGAGCAACCTTTCTAACCAACACATCCAGTGGTCACCACATCGCCCTCAATCCCTCACCACCCTCCCCACCCATTCCTGCACCTACTCCACAGCATTTAGCCCGCACTCCCCCTCCGTCCTCTCCTCCGTCTCCTCCGACTCCCACCTCCGCATCTTCGACCTTCGCACCCCAACCTCCGCCGCAAACCACCTCGTCTCCTCAATCCCCATCCACACCCCCCTCCCCCACGCCTCACAGATCCAACCCGTCGGTTCCAACCGCCCACCCACCGCCTTCCAGCCCTCCGAAGCACTCACCCACGACTGGAACAAGTACCGCCCCAACACCATAGCCACGGCGGGTGTCGATCGCATCATCCGAACCTTCGACATTAGGAACTACTCCGCCCCGCTTACTATGCTCCAGGGCCACGAATACGCGATCCGCAAGATCGCGTGGTCCCCGCATCTTCCCGATGTCCTGCTCTCCGCCTCCTACGACATGTCGTGCCGTATCTGGACGGATGGCTCGAATGGTGGAGTAGGCCGCGAGTTGGGCCGCATGAATGCGCATACGGAGTTTGTGACGGGTGTGGATTGGTGCTTGTTTGGTGCTGAGGGCTGGGCAGCGAGTTGTAGTTGGGATCAGAGGGTTTTGATTTGGGATGCTAAGAGTTTCATGGGTGGACCGTAGGTATGATGAGGGAGGATGAGCTTGGGGAGGTTGGTGGAAGAAAGAGAAGGGACCGCAGGATATCTAGATGCTCTATTTATGCAGATGAGGGGAGATAGCAAGTATATGGCGTTGTGGAGTTAGGTAAAATTATAGATGACCTTGTGAAGGTGGACTTGGAGACAGACATCACCATTACAATACAACGTGGTAGCCAAGAAGATATAGTAAAAAGTAGAGTTTTCAAATTATCGGTACTATACTACGCATACAAGTTTATATAAAAGAAAAAGCTTCCCAACGCTCTGCAAATGCCCCCATATGCGTTAAAACGAGGCCAGATACAGAACGCCGGCGCCTCCAAATCGTCCACCCCTTCTATGATACGTACAATACTGTGCTCTTCAATCTCGGCCCAGATTCCCAAAATCGTACAACGCGTCGGTAATCGTACACCGGGCCCATAACCCAACGGGGCTCCACAAAAATTTCTATAATAACAGGATCCGAATCGAACCGCCTTTAAAGAAGACAGGGTGCTTAAAACGAAGCACCGAGGTCCTGTCTTCCGCCACGATCGCTGCCGTAGGAGCCGCCGTCGCGACCTCCAAAGCCACGTCCACCATCACGTCCACCATCACGGCCCCCAAAGCCTCCGCGGTCGCCGCCTCGTCCACCAAAGCCACCACCACCACCACGGCCACCAGAGCTGCGTCCTCTGAAGCCGCCACCACCACCACGGCCGAACCCTCCGGACCTGCCTCCAAAGTCCGTATTTCTTGGTGAAGGCTCATCATCAAGCGAGTTGTGGCCAAAAACTAATCCCGTAACTCTGCTCAGACCCAGCTTGCTTGCAAGGCCGTGACCAATCGATGGTGGGGAGTCAAAGCCCCATCCGTAGCGGGTCCACTGGTATAAGCCATCCATCAGGCCCTGCTTGTCGGAGATAGATTGGAGCGAGCCGAGTGCCGCCTGGAAGGCAGCGATTTTATCGAACCTTGAAACACGCTTGGTAGCCTCGCCGACCTGGACAAGAATCTGTGCTGCATCAGCTCCAAGCTGGGCATCCTTGGTCATGTCGATCCGGGAAGTCTCAATCGTGGTATCAGGCTTGATAGGCAGACCGTTGAGTATGCGGCGAGCCAGGTTCATCTCGATATCGGTGAATAGTGCGTAACCCACTCCGCCCTTGTCGCCACGACCGGTACGTCCAACACGATGGATGTACTGGTCACGGTTGGGGGGAACACCGATTTGGATGACGTGAGTGACATTGGGGAAGTCCATACCGCGAGCGGTAACATCGGAGGAGACCATAATGGCGGACTTAGCGCGACGGAAGCGATCCGAGACGCGAGTACGCTGCTGTTGAGTAAGCTTGCCGTGCATCGCCGAAACCTCAGCTGGGTGAAGCGGGTGAGTGCCGTAAAGAGCGTTATCGGATTGGCTGAGGGACCCGAGAATGCCAGCGTAGAGCGTGACGTTTGCAGTTGATGGCAAGTAGACAATTGCTTTGAATGGAGGTTGGGTTGGGTCTTGCGCGACCTTTGCGATCTCCTTTGTGCAGATCTCAACGAGGGCAGGCGCAACGTTTTCGAAGCCCTTGCACGAAACAACGTGTTGGGGAATCCTTTCGTGGGTTGGCACCTCATCGCTCTTGACCGTCTGCACGAACTGGAAGCCGGGCTTCAATGTGCTCCTCACAAGGCTCATCACCTCGCGCGGTACAGTGGCGGAAAAGAGAAGAGTCTGACGATCCGTGATATTTCTGTTTGGAAGAAGGTTGATAATGGCTTCGATATCTTTGGAAAAACCTTGGTCCAACAAGCGATCAGCCTCATCAAGGACAACGGCCTTGAGATTAGGCGCCGAAACCCTGCTGTATGGATCGGTCAGGAGATCGTGGAGACGTCCTGGAGTGGCCACAAGCAAATGGCATCCCTGACGCTGCATTTGGTTCAGCATCGCCTTCTTGTTGCTTCCACCAACTGCGACCTGAACCTTGATGTTGGTGCCTCTGCAGAGCTTCTGGGCCTCGACGGCGAGTTGCTCAGCAAGCTCACGGGTAGGTGACATGACAATTGCACGAATATCCGAAGCTGTGGATCTGGAACCGCGCATGCTCTGATCCTGACCCTGATCCGCAAGTTCCGGGCTGGTCTTCAAGATGTTCTGTAAAACGGGAATGAGGAATCCTAGAGTCTTGCCGGTACCTGTCCTTGCTTGCGCAATACTAGTCTGTTATTAGCGTTTATCTTAAAAGTGGCAAAAGTGATGGGGTGCATACACGTCTGTTCCCTTCAGGGTCTCGGCAATTGTCAGTTGTTGCACATCAGTCATGGTATCATGGCCCATTGTGTCCGTAATTTCTTTGATAATCGCTGGGTGGACATGTCCTCTATCCGCAAGTTCCTGGAACTTTGTGATAATCTCGATATCTTCGTTTGACCTCGCGATAATGTCATCTTTGGGATCAAAGACTTGCTCTTGGTCGTTGTGGAAGTAGCGAGTCGCAGGCTGGGCGTGAAGAAATCTCGCTGCAATGGCAGTTTTCGATATTTGAATCGACTTGGAGGCAAAGACTGAGGTGCGCGAGAATGGGAGTGCGCTTCTCGGCGAACTCTGGACAACTCTGCACAGCGAGGCAGCGCCTCTTCTGTAAACGTTGAGCATGGTGAGGTTGGAGGTTCCTCAGGGGATATAAAGAATTAAGTTGCTAGTAGTGTGACAGTGAAGAGTAAAAAGAACGAATGCCACTGTTTGATGGGCGTATAAGGAAGGCAAAGGGGTGGAATTAGAAGAGGGCGGATGGAATTGTTGTGATTGATGGAGACCAATATCTTTGGCCATCCGAACTTCTCCTTGCGACTTTTTTGACGCTAGTGAGAAACTTTCTCCACCAACCGCTAGGAACATGCGACCGTCACGTGCCCAGGGGCGAGGCTGAGGGAGAGCCTCGTCAAGCCCACATGAGAGGTATTTTTATGGGACGAGCCACACGGAAGAGTACTGTACGAGTGAGCTGTCTGTCTAATTTTTGATTCATACTGTAAATGAAGTTTTATATAACAGGATTTATTATGGCAAGTGAAAAATACGGTTTATATGTTGAGTTTTTCCATGTTATGGTTATGGTAGGTTATAAGCATTTCTTGGGTTAGCTTGTGATGGTGTAGATGCAGCTTGTCAGCTTGTTCTATAAACTTCTTCATATTGGAATATGAGCATTGAATTTTGGATGACCCCAATGGCATATAAACTATAGCCTTGTATAGTATCCGACTGTGGATTGATATCTTCATCCCATTATTAGAGGTGAGAAGAGGCGTGGAAGGCGAATACAGTTTCCAGCCCAACTGCTCGATAGGACAGCACAGGTCATCATCTAGTACAGCCAAAGTCTTCCAGAAGCCCAAATAAACGGTGGAGTGTCGGGAATTCCTATAAAGATTGGTCCATTGTACTGTATAATACACTGCGGCTTGACCCCGTTTCCGCCGTACTTGTACGCCTGCGCCTATGCATTTTCTACCTTGATAACGCCACCCAATAACTCCCACTGCTCGCACAGAAACCGTCCTACCTCAAACACACAACCTGTAACTGGCATAACGCCCAGCCGTCTCACTGGTCCTGATGATCTTGACGACTTGTCCTCTCCTCAAACCCAGATATCTGGCAACTGGGTCTCCCACTTGGATGCGAGGCAACTGGGTGTCCTTCAGGCGGTAACGCTGCAATAACTTGGATCGCTCTTCCTTGCTCAGCAAAACGTGTTTCGGGACCAATTCGTGGTGGGTGATGTTGACGAGGAGGTCCTGCTCCAGGAAGCATTCGATTCTGGTCTCTGACGCAACGGCGGGAACAATCTTCATGGCCGCAGGTGTGATGTGGACATGCGTGACCAGGATGCCCGTGTGGAAGTTGCCCTGGGATAGAACCTGGGCGAACGATCGCATTTGCTTGATACCAACATTGGTATCTGCGAGAAATTCGATGTAGATCGTGCCCACATCAGCCTTGGGTGGGTTTGGGTTCGCGGCGGTTGCTGGAGTAGAGTATCGCGCGACCATCTCGACACTTGGCCGAGCGGTGAAGATCATCTTCTTGCGACTGTGGCTAGGTCAGCATTTGAATGGTAGAAATCGAGGGCCGTATGCTTGAACATACTCCGGAACGCCGTCATTTGTGAATCGGTGCTTGAACTCAGCGAGCGAGATGCTCAGCTCATCTTCATTCAGCTCATAACCCTACAGACCCTGTCAGTGATTTGATGTACCAGCTCCTCACTGCGACCACGCACTCTGTCATTGACCATCTGGTGAACGGTTCTCCATGCGCGCCAAAGTCTTGCTACCTCGCGATCGGCGATATCCCTCGCTTTTTGTTGGTCTTCGTCGGCCATCGCGATGATCAAGTAGCCAGAGGTTGAATAAAGCTGTCAAAATGCGAGTTGTTGGTTTTTGGGGTGTGACTTTGCAGTTCTTTTCTGCTGATCTTCAACTTTGAGGCAACAAAAATAGTCCTGCAAGGATGCAGTCCGCTATCACGCTAGCCATAAAGTGGGTCTGGTTGAACAGTCCCCAAAAACCGCTGGCCATGCTATCAAGAGTACTCGTGCCGTCCCAGAAATCTAAAGAAGGATAAGATATACACTAATAATTTATAGTAATTTATTATACCTAACTTATAGTAAAAGACGCTTGAATTTATTCTTTTGGCTTCAGTTTTTAGTAACTATCAAATTGAACGTCTGAAAATGGCTAAAGTCAATTGGAGAAAATCCACGCGGTTCTGCCAAAGTCCACCCCCAGCCGCGCTAAGAATTTCACTCGCTTGGATCTTTAAAGTTGGTAGGCGCACTCCGAGAAAAGTGTCCTTGACTTTCTGGGACCCTGCAAGCTGCACCCTTTCTTTTGGACTGCGGCAATATTTAAAGGCTCTGAAAGTGGGATTCTTTGTTTCTTACTATTCCAAGACATTTACATGTTCTTGGTTTGATTTGTATTAACCATTATGTCCGAAAAAACCGCCCCAGCAGCTGAGACGGTGGTCTTAGTTCCAGCAGTCACCGAGAAGAAGAGACCAGAGAGGCCTGATGACGCCGCCTTTGAAGCAGCAAAGGAGAAGGCAAAGAAGGAGCACAAGGTTGCCCAGGATAAGTTTGTATGTGAACCTCCAATTCATTATTAATGGCTTCAATTAGTCACTATACGACACCAAGCTCTTTCCTCTCCCGGGCAGTGACTGACCTGCTCCAGAACGCTGCCAAAGCAAAGGTAGAACTCGCCCAACCAAAGAACAAGGATGGTACCCCATCTGCTACCCAGAAGAGATGCCAAGAGCTCCAGACGAAGCTCAACGAGATCAGAAAGGAGCAGGCCGGCGGCAAAGCTGGCCGTAACCAAGTCTTTGACCAGATCAAGAAGCTCGATGAGCAATTGAAGAGCAGAATTGCCGAACAAAAGGCTGCACGCAGCCGTGTTGCGTTCAAGAATGTTGATGAGATCGATCGCCAGATTGATCACCTCGAGAAGCAGGTCAACGGGGGCATGATGAAGCTGGTGGACGAGAGGAAGGCATTGACTGAGGTCTCTTCGCTCCGCAAGCAACGCAAGAACTTCGCTGGCTTTGAGGACTCTCAAAAGGGAATCGACGATGTTAAGGCAAAGATCAAGGTTCTCAGGGATTCGCTCGACGACCCAGTGGCCAAGGCCCGTAGCGACGAGTACAACAAAATCCAGGCTGAATTAGACGTTATCAAGGCCGAGCAAGACGAAGTCTTCAAGAAAATCCATGCCCTCCGCTCCCAGCGTGAGGATCTCTACAAGGAATCTCAAGCAAAATACCAAGCTGTTCGCGCAATCGAGGATAATCACTGGAAGGCGAAGAAGGCATTCCAATCCCACGAATACGAGCAACGCCAAAAGACCCGTGAGCGCATAAAGGCCGAGCAAGAGGCATTCAACCTGCAAAAGAAGCGCGAGCGTGCCGAGAAGGTCCTTGCTGAGGCCAGCGAGCCCGCCTACCTTGACGAGATCCGCCGTGCTCAGAGCTTGATCCACTACCTTGACCCCAGCACCGCCAACGAGGCCAGCAAGCCCCTTCTCGCACCAAGCGGACTCACGGCCGAGGCACAGCGCACCGTTGACGACTCCGGAATTAAGGGCATGAGGGTTGCCAAGAAGGAAGACGAGGAATACTTCGCTGGAACAGGCGGTAAGAAGGGCAAGAAGGGACGCAAGGCTGCTGCATCCCCTTCCGCCCCAGCTCCTGGCAAATTCACCCTCCCACCAGCTGTTTTGGAAGACTGCAGCTCCATGGGAATTGAGCCACCAATGAGCGCCGCTGATATCCCAGCCGTCCTCGCCAAGGCCCAGGAGAAGCTCGCATTCTGGAGAGCTGACCAGAAGGCACAGACTGAGAAGGTATGTCACCACCCATGGCTAAGATTATATCTATAGTGTGTTCAAAGTACTAACTATCCCAGAACGTTGCCAAGGCCCAGAAGGACATCGAGAAGCTTGACGCCGAGGAGTCCACCCCAGCCACCAACGGCTCCAAGAAGTCCGAGGAGTCCGTCGTCGCCTCTACCATCGAGACCGTCAAGGACACCGTCGCCGACGTCGCCGAGAAGGTCAAGGCCGTCACCGTCGGCGAGGACAAGGAGTAAATCGCTTCCCTCGTGCACCACTGCCAACATGGCAACAACCCGTCATTTTCGCAGTCCAAAAAAGCATAGCGTCTTGATTCACCCCCCCCCAAGCAAGCGCGCCTATTATACTCATCATCAAAAACCCCCATTCATCTGGTTTTGTTTATAGCGGGCATTTCGGATCCTTGGGAGATATCCCCCCACTCTTGTTGCGAAACTTCAGTTTTTTATCCCTCGCATTGTGTATACTTTATTCAACCAGGAGATATATTTTTTGGGCCACATTCCATAATATTTTTTAGGGTCCGTCTTGTCTCGGTCACGTATAAAAATAATGAAGAAACTTGGCTTATTTCATGATTTCGTAAAAAACGTGTTGATACTTCATTTCTACTCCTCCCATCATAAGAGTGACCCGTGAGCTATGTTATGCGTGATAAAGTCGTTATCTCGTAAGACGTTCGTGACTTAAACCTCCCTCCCTCTCTGCCATCCCTTTGCGCAATTTAGAAGATGTGGAATACGCAAGGCGCCAGTGCTATGTTATGCCCCCTATGCAGACCAGGACGCCCCAGCGCGAAAACATAAAACGTATTGCAAACATCAAAACAAGTAGAATCCCAGCCCCCCCAACACAGACATCTCTCGTTGTTACATTCCCAGCCTGTCTCCCGACCCTCAGTAGCGTCCACCATACGCGTACCCGCTGCTCGGTGGTGGCGGCGGTCTCCTGATGCTTCCTAGTCCCGGCGTGCTCCTCCCGGCCTCCACTCGCTCCTGCCTCTTGCCCTTTCCCCCTCCGCTCTCTCGCATCCTCGCCCCCGTCAGTGCACTCAGCGGCGGGTCCTTGACAGCCGAGTCGTCGTCGCGCGGCAGGGTGAAAGTCACCAGACTGTAGAAGTACTCGAGCACCTCGGGGTAGCGCTGCACGCTGGCGCGCCAGTCCTCATCAATACCCCGCTTCAGCTCCGCGTTGGCGGCTGCGATCTCGGTTGGGTGTGGTCGCGTGCCATAGTAGTAAAGGGCGCGCTCGCTGAGGTGCGCGATGTGCATTGAGTGCGACTCTCGGCGTCGGGTCGTGAGGACGTTGAAGTACGTTAGGATGTAGTCTTGTGCATGGCCGCGGACCCAGGCCCTGGGAGGGAAGTTAATTGCTGGTGGGAGGGACTGGGTGATTCTGGGGGAGGGTCGGGGGGGTATTACCGGATGTCGGCGAAGAAGGTGGTCATCATTCGGGTCTCGGCCTGGCGGACGGCGGTGTCGAGGCCCTTTGCTTCGCAGTCGCATTGTGCGAGGGCGGGCGAGGAGCAGATCGCACAGTCGGGGTCCATCGTTTCGGGGTTTTCTCGTTCTCGATACGGGTCTCGGTCTCTGGAGTCGAGGGTCAATGAAGTGAATCTACTGGAGAGATTTGGAAAGAGGTGCAAGTGAATTGGAGTCATGAGTGTGGAATTGGCCATGGAGAGAGAGAGGGAAGTGAGGTGGAAGTGAAGTGAGGTTCATGTGTTGAGAGCTTGTATACTGCTGGGAAGGAGCCGCCAACTCACCTTCGATTAGGCATCGTTGGGAGTTGAGTTGCACGTCACAGACACTGCGACGCGGCTCTGTTTGGTGAGGTACGGTTTGGGCCAGCAAGCACAATGGGCACTGTCGACAAACGCGACACGACTGGGCACTGTGAAGCCACGGGGGGAAGGAACGGTGGTGGAAACAGGTATTCCTGGGTATTGGAATATACGATAGGAGGGAAAAGAAGAGAACAGAAGACGGAGAGAGAGGGGGAGAGAGGGAGAGAGAGAGAAGAGAGAGAGAGAGGGAAAGGGAAGGTATTCCTACGTGTTTGTGTCTCTTCCCACCGCTGACAGAATGCCGATGCAGCGGATGCAGCTGCTGTGCTGTCGTGGCTCGAGTGTCGGTTGTTCCACTCGCGGTGTGCAGATTGTAACGTTAAAAGGGCAGCTTCTGCAGTTTTTCTGGATGAATTGGTGATGCGGCAGAAGGAAGAGGTGCATTCAATTGGACCAAGGCTCTATTCGACGCCGGTCAAAGAAGCGGTCTCATGCAGCTAAGACGCGGATACACGCATCGGTTTTTGCACGAGTCGGGCGCTTGAGGGGTTCAGGTTGTTTGAGCCCATATATATCCCGCCTAGCGGTATACAGACTACACTGTGTAGCGTACTTCTAGGAATGTAGTTCCAACACGGGTGATATTATGGCTTCAAAAGTTCAAAAACAACATCATATTTGGCATTACCGTCGACACGGAGAGCTTGGCTCTCTTCCTAAGACTATAGAAGACGAAATGAAAGGCCTACGTACAATTGCTAGTGAATACAACGATGAGGATATATATATAATATGGATGAGGCTGCACTCTATTAGAAGATGACACCTTCTTATGGACTTGCTACACAACTACGACCTAGTTGAAGAAGGACAAGGCTCGTCTGTCTCTTAATTTTGCTACAAATGCAACTAGGAATAATAGATTACGTGTAGATCATTAGAAAGAGCAAAACACTAAGAGCACTATGAAATACAAGTGTTTCTACAACATGAGGAGAGTGGAGGTGGAATAAGAAGGCCTAGATGAATACAACTATGATGTCTAAATGGCTTTAAGCATTCTATAATCACATTAGAACAACTTGTACAGTCCTTTAACAATGGATAACTTCTCTACACACCTTACAGCTGTTGAATTTACACCACCTCCTCCTAATATACGAATCTGTTAGCTTCTAAAGACTTGACAAGTCAATTTCAACCTTTAGATTAAGGAATTATACAAAGCTTTAAGTCTCATTATAGACGACAGTGGCTCTTATATATGCTTGAGTGTTATAATAATAACTAGGACCCTAGAGACTTAATGGATTTACACCTAGCTATTCGTTAGATTCTAAGAAGTTGGATAACTACGTCTTAAATACAACAATCTACAACTGTTTCTAGAAGTCAACTCTAGTTACAACTCCTATATCACTTTCTATTGCAATTGATTCTCCGAATATCACAAGTCTTTATAAGCAAGTTAAAAGAGCTGGGAATATACAAGATATTATATTTTAAGCTTCCTAAATCTGGTTGAGGAACAAGAGTTAGAGGCAGAGAGTGAACAAGAATCAGTAGATCCTAAGGAGGTTTTATAGGATGTGATAACAGAGCATCTTAGCTTATAGACAATTGATGAAGATGAGGAAGAAGAGGCGTAGCCTAACACAGTGTATCCAGTAGTTGAAACAGTTGGTTTTTGTGTAATGGTGGGTGCACCAGATGTGAGAATCTAGCCACCCAAGGAAGGGATGATTTTACTAAGACAACACACTGTCTTAGGAAACAGAGCCAAAGGGTTGTAGCTTAGACTATTCCACAACGCAGCAATCAGGTGTGTGATGTAGTGAAGTGGTTCAGACAAGTTGCAACAAATGTTGAGTCTGAGAACTCAGGGGTAAGTCAAGAGGTTAGCACCTCACTGTAACGCTGACTTCTAAACGATAGAAGACACAGAGGTTCTCTTGCGTAAAGGTTTACTTATCAGAGGAGGCAGGGGATCAGACACAAAGGCTTCAAGTAACACGTTACTAGTATATAACAAATACTGTATTGAGTTGAGCACGAAGCTCCTATCTAAGGAAATACTATCTACTTATATAGTGGCGTCGTGCCTAGTGGACTCTTGGGAACTCACTTGAGTCCTCGGAGTCCTGGACTCTTAGGACTCTTCTCATCATCCTGCGAGTCCATCACGTGCCTAGTGGACTCCTGGGAACTCACTCGAGTCCTCGGAGTCCTGGACTCTTAGGACTCTTCTCATCATCCTACGAGTCCGTCACGTGATACTTTCGGAACTACTATTCCCCGCTGCCCCTCCAGGTACCAGGGCCGGTCTCATGCGACCTCCCTCCTTCCTGTCCTGTAGTTGGCCAGCCTTCTTGTTCCGTCGTAACACTCACTGACTTTTCAAAAACAGAGAATAACAAGATCAATGCTTGGAAGCTTGGAAAAGACGTAGAAGTATGTGCTAGTCGATTTACTGTATTGTCTGCTTGCCCTTTCTTAAGGAAAGGGCAATCCTATTTATGCCAAAGGAGTGTAGTTCTCTCATTTTCCATGACTTTCCATGACTAACCAGGCTTGGTAAATGTATTAGAAATCAAGTGCGACCCACAACTAGCTTGCTAATCATATAGTGAACGTAAGAGAATCCCATAGAACCATCTCTTGGGTTCCTAGCCTATAGGAAGTGAAAAGGAGGTCCAAGGTCAGAGTACCTATAGATAAATTATGTCATAACTTAACCAATCTTGTGGGTAACTAAGGAGCGATGACCTGTAATGAATCATAGAGGGTTGTAGAAGCTCCTAGAGCTATCGTTCATGTTCCTAGGTCTCTAGTTGGTAGAGATATGCCATGTGGTAGTAATGGCCCACCCCCTTAAGGAGGAGATTTTCTTAATAACTTGTTCAATGAGTGTCCAAATGATATGCTGTGCATAAACAGATGTAGTAGAAGAGTTTGCAGCAATCGTTCAGTAGTATTGCTTCTGTTGTTGGTGTGATAAGCCAAGATATGTATGGTGACTTGTAGGTTTGAGGAGGAGATTTCTAAGTTTGCTCTTGAGTTTGATAGCAAACTGAGTGCAACGAATGTCAGTATGACACGAAAGCTAACTCCACAGCTTACAATCCATCAGACATATAAGTGTTCAAGTACTGCAGGATCTAGTGTCTGAGTATCGACTGTAGAAACGCAACGGCGTTTATGGTTTTGACTTCGTTGAAATGCTTCGCTGATATTGGATTGCCGAGAGAGTGTCTTGATAGCTTGTACAGAAGTAATGGCAATTGCATGAGTATCTAATAGATGCGTAGTTACAACTGCAGTACCAGAAGTCTCTTGATACTCCTTTCGGAAGTACTTGCAACGCCAAACAGCCTTTCCATGTCGATTAAAATAGGCTGTATCACGGTGCTCAGGTGTATGGTCCCAGATTTTTGATGTTCGTGGACGTTTTCGGCTTGTAAGAGACAGAGAGGATTGTGTAGGTGCGTCGCTTTGAGTATCAAATGTTTCAAACTGAGCAGTGTCAAAATCTACCAATAGACTAGACTGTGGTGATGCCATTATTGCCAAAGAATGAAGCTATAGATCACGAAGATGCAGAGTTTTCACTATATGGTACTCATATATTAGGCTGATAAAATTTCCACATTAGGCAATTCAAACTGCAGTTCAAACTGCAGTTTGAACTGCCAAGAACCAACTACGGACTGTACGGCATAATCTTTAAACCAACTGCCAAGAACTGCGTAATGCGAAAACCAACTATTTAACTGCATAACAAACCGACTAACTGACTAACTACTGGACACACTGCCTAAACGACAATTGAACCCCTTTCCGGTTTGCTTGGACGGCGATCAAAGCCTATTCGAGGCCACTTTGGTGCATATGGGGTGTATGGAGGCTATGATGTATTTGCAGAGCTTTGCTAATGAGCTTTTGGTTGGTAAACCCTTCTTTATGGTCTATATTCTCTCCCGGGCCGAATACTGACTTATTGATTTGACCGGGCTCTGTTCCAAGATCGAAGAGGTCAATGCGAAGTTCCACTATCCTTCCAAATGGAAACAAAATCGATCCACCAGACCCCTTCTTTCACAATCTCTATAGGGTTACACTCAAGAATGGAGAGAGATGGGCAGTAGACACCACCGGGGCGCAATATGGATACCCGGATCCTCTATGCCCCTGGCATGACTTTGAGCACCACCGATCAGGCAAAATCTTCAGAGAATATGAGTTCAGCTATATTCGTCGCAAGACCTACGAATCATTTGGAATGTTCCCTGTGAGACACATGGTGGCCCATAAGATGGAGAAACAAGAACTTGCCAAGGCACTGGAAGACAAGATTTCTTCATGGGCTCAGGAGCATGGAGGCAAGCTGAATGCCATATTGATAGGTTCGGATGCTACGTTTAAGCAAGCAAAAGATAAATTCTTAGAACAATTAGAGGACCATCTCAAGGTATCTATGACCAAGCTGTACTCTCCGGAGCAGATTTTGAAAAGGGAAAAGGAGGTTGACTGCTGTCGCCACCTACGAGCGAAGCGAGTGGGTGGAACACTGAGTAACGTAAGTCATGGCGTAACGCGGGGGATGGCGTAACGCGGTGGAAATTTGAAGAGAACACAACAAATCTGTAAATTTAACTACAATCAACGATAATACATGATCCACCATCACTCTTAGATTGTTCCCCTGCTTCTTCCTCAATATACTCGTCAATTTCAATGTCTGAGGAGGCGTTCTTATCCTTTGTTTTGCGCTTTTTCTTACTTGGGTTATGTGTCGCCTTTTCCGCCTCCATCACCGCATCACACAACTCTTGCGTAGAAACATGAAAGTGACCCTTCAGAATAACCCTTTTCCCCTTCGTACGTACTGTACGTTGCTTTATAACTGATCGCAGGTTGTTGGCATCGAGTTGGTGGACAATGCTGCGTGCTCGAAGTTGCTCTGACGCAACTGTGAGTTTTTGGATGTACGTCCGCACTGGTGTTGACAGCACCCCACCACTATTAATCGTAGTTGTAAGGAGCACATTTGCAGAGCGTAAGGTCATCCCATCTGGGGGGGAGCTGTTGATAAAGACTCGGTCAAAAATATCATACTGATGTGGTGTTTTTGGTCGGTCAGCCTCGACTGATGGTTCAGCATTGAGCAGCGTACGCAATGCTCGCTGGGGATTAAAAGGAAACAAGCCAGCGCCACGGTATGCTGACTCAATGTTCTGATGGTTGCATACATCAAGCCGTGCCTGGATGTATGCCTCCATCCATTCATACTTCTGTATGCACGCAAGTTGCGCTTCGTTGAGTGGGGAGAGCGCTGCTGTCAGACGCTTTTTTAGCGGGCCGAATATTGCAACATCCAGTGGTTGTAGCAAGTGCGATGTATGAGGGGGAAGTATCAGTAATACAATATGGTTCTGCATGCAATGCGCATTGAAACTCCCGCTAATGTGTGAGTCGTGGCCATCACATATAAGAAGCCGGTGCTGACCATCTGCTTTTGTACGTGTTGTTGGCTCGAAGATGCGTTTTAACCACTCCAACCCATGGAGGTTGCTTGTCCAGCCTTTCGTATTCACAGAGAAGAACCACTGGTCGATGACTGCGGGCGGAATCCATGATTGGAGAACGTTCTTGCCCTTAAAGATCCCGAGGGGTGGGAGGATGGTTCCGTCTGCGCAGATGCACTCGACCATCGAAACCCATTCCTGACGGCCAGGATGCGCTTGATGCTTCGTACGAAGCGTTGAATCAAGTATAATTCGAGTAGATTCCATTGTCCCAATCGAAAATCCGGATTCATCCATGTTATATGTGTTCTCTTGCGTGATTCCAAACTCTTGAACCACCCTTGGTGTACGCGTTAAACCATGCCATAAGCACTGGTTTTGTTGCACCGTCCATGCGTACAGTTTCGATCCGTCGCCCAATAGCGACCTGTAGATGGGGATGTCGTTGTATGAATCGTGGTACCCAGTCGCGACCGAGGGAAAATCGTGGTTGGGGTAGAAGTAAGTTTGGCGTCGCGTCGTCAAAATTGAGTGACCGGTGCGACCGGAGCTCTTCAGCTATTTCCTTCAACAACCGATGCCCTGGAGAATAGCCGCTGATTGTTAGGTTTTTAATCCACTTTAGAAGTATCTGTTCTTGCGCGCCTGATAAATTCTGCTGTTTCTGGCGGGCTTGGGAGCGTGTCAAACCTCCATTGACGCGTCGCGTCACTGAACTCTTCGGCAGCCCCAGCACTTTCTCAGCGTGATATGCACTCTTATACTTCTTAGATCGGACGTCTAATACTGCCTGGGCTATTAAAGTTTCACGCTCAGCAACACCCAGGCTTTTACAGCGAACCATTGTTGAGTTATTCACAGTTATCAGAAGTCGGCGGAGTGAATTCCCCGCGTTACGCCATCCCCCGCGTTACGCCACGACTTACGTTATGCTTGGTATATACCTACCCGTGCCGAACACTGGTTGAACGATATATTCGATACCGATATTGAACTACTCGGTGTTCCACCCACTCGCTTCGCTCGTAGGTGGCGACAGCAAGTTGTGCGTGCGACAGCAAGATGTGCGACACATAAAACGAAGAAAAAGACGCCTTATATATCAACTATATAACTATATAATTAAAACATAAAATCAATAGAACTACTATCACTATCGCTACTGCCACTATTGCTACTATCACTTTGATCCTTACTATACCGTAAAATGATCACTTTTGATTTCAACCCTTCCTTCTTCCGCTCTGCTACCCGCTTCCTCTCAACCTTACGCTCTTCAATTTCGATTTTACGTGCTTGCGCTTGTAGCTGCTTTACTACTTGGTCCGATTCCCTTGCTGCTCTTGCGTCTGCTTTTGCTTGCAACTTTGCTTTCTTCTCTTCCCGCATTTTCCGTGCATCTGATGCATATAACTGCCCTCCTTTCTGTAGTGATTTCCGTGCCCTTGCCTTTGCTGCCTTCTGCTCTACTGCACGTAGAGTCATAATATCTAGCTCGGTCTTATAGAGCTCTGCCCGGTGTAGAACAACTGTAGTTCCACGTGCAAATGATTGAAACCCTTCTCTTGAAGGCGATGAGAAAGCTTCCTCTGCTCTCTTCTGCCAATGTTCAACCGCTTGCACACTTTGCATAGTTGTTTTCGGTGTTGAGATAATATTATATGAAGCAAATGGCTCATAATCAGGTGTTTGATTCCGAGTCTCTTGTATCTTGTCAATTACAAGTGGAGGATTATATGGATATAGTCCTGTATTTCTCCAACCAGATTGAATTGTACGGACAGTTAGAGATTGCCGTCGGATTTGCGGGAGGTCTGAAAGGAACGTACGTAGCTTATACTCATAGTCGTAGCTACGTACTGCTTGATCAAGTGCCTTTTGATGAAAGTGTTTGCACTGCTTAAAAACCGCTACATCAAGAGGTTGTAATAGATGTGTTGTATGAGCAGGAAGGCAGCAAATAACAATGTTATGCTCTTCTGCTAATGTAAGAAAGCGCTCTGTTTTATGAGAGTCATGGCCGTCAAGTAATAAGAGGCGAGTATCATCTGGTGCCATATGCTCTGCAGATAGTTGGATAAAATGCATAAGGTATTGGATTGCAATGTCGTCGTTTGAATACCCGCTCTCATTTACAATAATGAGAGCATTTGGCTCAAGGTCATCATTGTACCATGAATCCATATGAAGTTTGCCAGGGATAATGATAGCTTCTGCAAGTGCAGCACCACTTGCATTTACTGCCTCAATTACAGTAACAGAGAGCCGATTCTCAGGATTATCAACAGTCCACTGCTTTACACCGATTGGTACAATAACAGCCGTAGACTTATAACACCCAATCATATAGCCTGTCTCATCAACATTCCATAAATTATATGGCTTAATGTTATGTTTTGTAATAAGGGCGTTATATGTGAGAAAGAATTCCTCAAACACCTCTTTCTTTTGTGCTTGCTTCCGATGTGTATTAAACGTCTTCGTGTGAATTGTATGAAATTCGGGGTGTGCTTTTAGAAAGCGTTGTAGCCACCGTTGTGATGGTATCGTACGATTAGGTCGTAAGTCTGCAACTGCCCGTAGTATCATAGATCGGTTGGCAGGGACCCCGCGCTCAAGTTGGTCGTATATGAATTGACAGACCGCGGTCTCTTGCGATTGAGATAAGACTCGATTGCTACCTCCGTGGGGTAATTGAGGAGACGTAGTACTCGTAATACGACGTCGGAGTGTCTCACGGTTGACATTGAATTTATTTGCAACCCAAGCAATTGTATATGTACTTGGTTGTTTTAAGAAGAACTGTTGGGCCTCATTAAGGCGAGCAATCATAGTAGGATCGTTATTTTGAGGCATTGTAGATACTACGTTATGAAGAATACTATTATTTTTTCTATATATCAAAATAGCGGTGTACGCACATCTTGCTGTCGCACGCACAACTTGCTGTCGCCACCTACGAGCGAAGCGAGTGGGTGGAACACCGAGTAAGGGATGGATTAGGATTACATCGTCTTATCGAGACTCTACTGTAGTGCCTAACCCCTGTCCTAGAATATACGGTGGCCGAGATTATTTTATTCCGCAGCCTGTATCAAAAGTCCAAAGAGCAAAGAGGAGACCGACGACGACGCTCCTTCCACATTCACCAGTGAGTGAACCAAAGGGGCTTCTTCCCCATTCACCATGCCGCCTCGATGTCCAACAGCCTCTGGGACTCTAACACCATTCCTATACCCCTTCCTCTGCACCACCACGACTCCTCGAACGCTCCCTCGCCTGGCTCAAAAATGCTTCTCTCGCCGACACCCCCCCCGACACCTCTCGACAACCCCCAGGGCCCTTTCAGCCGACCTTGATCCTCTCTCAAGCGTCCCAGTGCACCTCAATAACCAACCCGTCTCTCACCTCAACCCCCCTCCCTCCGACTACGGCCGCACAATCTTCTCCGACCGCGCCACCGTCCACCTCCACGCCGGCGACGGTGGCCACGGCTGCATCTCCTTTCTGAAAGAAAAATACATCGCCGCCGGCCCTGCCAACGGCGGCGACGGGGGCTACGGGGGTAGCATCTACATCCAAGCCGTCCGCGGCGAGACCTCGCTACACAAGCTCGCGCGCCGTAACATCATCAAAGCCGGGCGCGGCAAGAACGGCCAGGGCAAGACCCGCGGCGGCGAACGCGGCGACGACGTCGTCATCCAGGTCCCCGTCGGCACCGTGATCCGCGAGATCGAGCGCGTGGACCCGGTCTCTAATGAGGAGCTGAAACTGCAGTTCCAGGGTGATGCACCGGAGGGCGATGTGCGCGAGCACGCTGGGCCGTATAAATGGGATCGTGATAAGTGGCTGCTCTACCCGGCCATCACACCGGAAGACATTGCAACTGCTGACTTCCCGACTCTGCCCCGCGCACGCCGGTCTCACCTTGCTTCCGCGCAGGAGATGGCCCCGATCAACCTAGACCTCAGCCAGCCGATGGAGAAGCCCATTCTCCTTGCTGCTGGTGCAGTCGGCGGTCTCGGAAACCCGCATTTCGTCTCCCAGGGTGCCTCGCGCCCAAAATACGCCACCAAGGGATCTGAGGGGTTACATATTACGCTTGAGCTTGAGCTGAAGCTCCTCGCGGACGTAGGCCTTGTGGGGCTACCAAACGCGGGTAAATCGACGCTTCTGCGCGCTGTCAGCAACTCGCGCGCCCGCGTGGGCAACTGGGCTTTCACGACGCTACAACCTAATATTGGCACCGTGGTGCTGGACAACCACAAGGGTCGCCCATTGACGGTATCGAGCTACGAGACAGGCGAGCCACGCACGAATTACACCATTGCGGATATCCCTGGTCTAGTCAAGGATGCGCATCTCGATCGCGGCCTAGGCGTCTCCTTCCTTCGCCACGTAGAGCGTGCGCGCGTCCTAGCATTCGTGATTGACCTTGCCGCCGGCGACGCAGTGACAGCGCTAAAGTCCCTCTGGCGCGAAGTCGGCATGTACGAGCGGATGAAGATCGAAGAGGAAGTAGCGAAAGAGAAGAAAGAACAGATTGTGAAATGGAGCCCCATCCAACAAAACCAGGACAAGGACGAACCCCGTGGCTCTAGTTACCACGATAAAGTCCCTCGTAGCGAGGATGCAGGGGGTATTGCGAGTAAACCTTGGTTTGTGGTGGCGAGTAAGGCGGATTTGGAGGGGTCGCAGGAGAATTATGCGGGGTTGAAGGCGTATTTGGGGAGGGTTACCAAGGGGGAGGAAGAGCATCCTAGTGGGCAGAAGGATGGGTATGTGAAGGACTTGGTGGCGCTGCCTATCTCCGCTATTAATGGGCATGGGGTTGATGGTATCACGAAGTTGGTTGTGGGTATGCTTAATGAGTAAACCGCAGGGGGAAGGAGAGATAGGGGATAGATGTACGATATTGTACTGTATCATAGATTTGTATATAATGTATGATAGATGTCATTAATCAGGCGAACCACATACGGTTTAAATCAACGCAGTCACAATTGCATAGCCTCTAGGTTCCTATTATTGCAGTTGAATGTTATTTCCTTCCTTTATATTGCAGAAGCTATTGATGAAAACGCCTTTTTACTCTATGCGTACAATGCCCCTCAGACATTTACAATTGATCAGAACCCGCCTCTATCTCGATAGGAGCCTCCGCAGCATCCATCTCAACATCCTCACTCTTCTCCACCACCATCTCCCCATCCCCATTCGCCGTCTCCGCCTCCGCCACCTCCGCCTCCGCAACAGCCGCATCCACAACCGCCGCCGCCCTCTGCGCCGGATGGTGGTTATTAACAAGCGGCACATTCTCGTTGAATATCCTCAACAACATCGCCGTACGATCCTCCTTCGCCAGCATCAGATTCAGACTATGCAAGCTGCGCCACAGCGGCAGCACAATGCGCTCCTTAAACCCATCCTCCTTATCACTAGGCTCAATACGGAGCACACAGCATCCCATCCCAATATCCCTGACCCGCTCCCCGATCTCTCCAAGCTCCTTCCAACACCCATCCGTAACCTTGGGGAACATCTCCACCAGCAGCTTTCGCAGGGTTGCGCGCTTGTACAAGCGCACTACGCGGCCCTCGCCAACGTAGCCTTCGAGAATAGGCATACCCTCCGACTGGATGCGCCAGCGGCACACGCCCTCGCCCTGCACATCCTGCTTCATGAACATGCGCACACCGCCGTGGATGAACTTGATGCCCTTCCCCTCGTTCTCGACAAGGATGTCACGGATTAGAGCGGAGGTGTAGTAGATCGTCTTAGCGGGCTCGCCGAGTGCGTTGCGCACCATGAAGCGGTCGCGCGGGAAGCGCTGGGAGAGCTTGTAGAACTCCTCGATGGATTGCACCTCAGGGTGGTCGCCGGAGATGTACTTGAATGGCTCCTCGAATTGTTGCTGGTTGCGGCCCTTGGCTTTGACAAGTGCGGGGAGGGAGGTGGTAGCGGCGGGAGTGGTGGTATCGGGGCGTAGGTCGCCGGGGCGAGTGGTCGCGTCGAGCTCGGCGCCTGGGGGTGGCGGGAAGTGCACCTGGCGGTTGTCGAGGTTTAAAGCCTCAACTTCGGTGCCGTTGCTCTCAATCTTCGCCTTCTTCGGCGAGGATGGGGCCGCATCGTTGTCGTCGTACGAGCGCTTTGCTGGTAGCGTAGCATCCGGCTTGTCGCTGGCTTGGTTCTCGCGAGCAACAGCGGGAACGCTTTGATCCTCCAGGTCAGTTGATGTAGAACCCTCAAGAAGATCTGCGGCCTCAATCTTTGGAGCCACGTTGGCGCCTGGAGCTGGTGTTGGCTGAGCCTCGATCTCCTCGACGATGCTGATAACAGCTGGCTTTGGCTCCGACTTCTTAGCCTCAGATTCGGGCTTTGCCTTGAATTCGGTCATCTTCTGAAGAACAGTGATGAAGAAACCGCCGGTGTCTTGTTGATGCGCGTAGACTCTCATACAGCGCTCAAGCGGAATCTTGGCCGCCTCGCCAGTTGGGGCGAACATGCCCTCAGCAAGGCGAGCCGTGGCATGGTTGGCGCCGCTCTTCTGGTTCTCAGCCTCAACAGATGGCCAGTCCTCCCAAACCTTACCGGACTTGTCCATGATCGTCCACTTCTTGAGACCTTCCTTGCGCTTCAGTCCAACCAGTTGGTCGCTGCAGTCAATCAACTGAACCTTCTCCAGCCCACCACAGCGCTCAATGGCTGAAGCGACAACTGCCTCGTTCTCAACGGGGTTCATGCTGCAGGTAGAGTAGACTACTCGTCCGCCGGCCTTGAGCATCTGGAGAGCACGAACAAGAATGCGGACTTGAGTGACGTAGAGACCAAGGGCATTGCTAGGACTCCAATCTTGCCACAGGTTGGGGTTCTTGCGGCACGTTCCATCTCCGGAGCAAGGAACATCAGCAAGAATGCGATCGAACTTAAGGTAGCGGTTTTGGGCCGGGTCCTCCTTGGTCGACGGTAGCTTGATCGAAGGGAATATCGTAGCGTCGTGGTTGGTAACAATCAGATTCGGGGATGAAAGGCGCTTAAGCTGATGAATCAACATGTGACTGCGCTTGTAGTCGGAATCGTTGGCAATGAGCAGGCCAGTAGCCCTGCCAAAGTCCTCGGAGTCGACATTCAAGTCCTCGTCACCAACAACGTCGAGCCCAGGGCTGATCTCTCTTCCGTCCTCCTTGGCATGTAGGCGCAGAGCATTGCGTATTCTGGCCTCCTCGCCCTTATGAACCATCTCCAAAAGCTGTGCCGCCTTGCTTCCAGGCGCCGCGCACATATCCAAAACAGTCATACCCGGCTCAATACCCATGAGAAGCGGGGGAATCATGCTGACGACTTCCTGTCTGCTGATGTTTCCAACGCTGGTCTCGGAGACGAGGTACTTCTGGAAAGCCGCGAAGGGCGGAAAGCGTCGCACAACGTTCTTCGGCGTCGTCATCCACCAGGCGAGCTCATCGGGGTACCAGGGGACTGGCTGCGGGGCCTCGACCGCCGTTCCATCGTAATGCTCGATCTTGGTGATCTCCGGGATGTAGCGCTCACGGAGCTGCTTCTGCACAGCCAAGGCATGTCTTTACCCAATATTAGCATATATATCCAAACTTTAAGAAGAGTAAAACCACATACCCTTTGGACCCCGCGAAGCGGAAGCTGTTAGGCAAATCCCTCCTCAGCGCCGCCCAGAACTCCACGCGCTCCTCCTCCGGCAGCTCAATGATGCTATCATAGTACCGCTCGAACTTCTCGTTGGTCTTGTCGATTTTATCGTAGCTCACCCGGTTATCGCGACTATCGCGACCACCAGCCCCACCTCCACGGCCTTTGCCTCTGCCACCGCCACGTCCGCCCTGAACAGGGTCAATTAGTTTCCTAGGTTCGCCAATTGCATACTTAGACTTACTCTTTTGCCTCCGCGACCCATTGTAAAATCACTGAGGGACGTTTGAAAGAGACTATAGTATTAGCGTCTCGAGGGAGACCGAGCCTTTTAACTTCAGGCTTTTACGACGGCGGCGTATAAAAGTTCATCGGAAGCCTTGCACTACCCACCCGCGCTACCCCAGACCGGAAAATAGTCTCGCCGCTTACCGCAAAACAGGTCCAGAATCAGGTGCCGTGACCTAGATGGAACAAAATGATATTACGAAGTGACTAGAAATCCCTTGATAAATTCTTCTACCTTGGTCAAAAACCTAGTATGTAATGCCCAGTCCCCAATCCCCTTAAGAAAAAGCAATCCAGTCCATGCTCTCGCGCCAATTTGCTTGCCATTCGCCCAAAAGAAGGATACGTCAGCCTGGGTATGTGTGCTCTTATGTCCCAATAATAATCATCCTTGCTATTTTGCTCCGTCGTAGAAAATAAAACATCTAATACTCGCGCCAAATTGTGTCCGTATTTCCTTTGCCTGTCTGAGTTGGGGAATCATGGTAGTTCAGTCATCTCACGACTCCCCATGTCTCACATCTTACCAGCCAGGCGGTGGCGGCGGCGGACTATGACCACCAAACTGTCGTTGTCACAAACGGCCCAGTAGTACCTCTTTTTTCCACATACGCACGCCCAGAACGTCATAAAACCGGCCGTAGTCAACGGTCTCGAGCTTCAGGCCCGGTGCAGTGTCATCCTCCTCATCACTATCGTCAGTGTTGCTTTCGTCCTGCTTCCCCTCAGAGATTATGCTTGTGTTACCTGTATACATGGTGGCTTTACCCTTCCCCTTATCCTTGGGTTTCGGCACAGCTTTGACATTCCATGCCAGTCGCCCCACGGTGTTACCTAGAGCCAAGTATTCCAATTTCATGCCGGGATGGCTTGACAAGGCATCGGCAATAAACCTAGGAACCTCACGCATAACCCAGTGGCAAGTGTCATCGTTACGGAAGTTTATTATGTGGAGTGCTCTCAGAGAAACCAAGCCTGGAAGATATTGGTTGAAAGTATGCTGTATAATATGTCAGAATTGATCGGTCTATGTTCGTGGAGATTTGACAGATGCACAATTGAGAAGAAGCATGATAAAGGAAATGTCACGTACCAGAGCAGGAGATGCAAAGCTAATACCAAGCTCTTCCAGATTCTTTCCCTTCCGGCAAAGCAGCTCCAAAAACTTCACATTCGCATCCCACGTATAGTCATTTTCATTCTTGATGGCCAGTCTCTTCAGCGTAGAAGCGTGCTTCTTAATGACGTAACGGTGAATATTGTCACTCGTAACCATAGTCTTGAGCGCAAAGCTATACTCCGAACTTTTCGTGGAGCGCTCCAGGATGAATAGCTCCACCAGATTCTCCAACTGATTCACAAACTTGAGGAAATGAAGAGTGACATTGTCCGTGTGGATCTTGCACAGAGGCAACGGAGAAACTTTGTTCTCTTTCGTCAGGTAGTTCCAGAAGGGTGCTTGAGATCCGACGTTTAGCAGTGAGATATGCTTCAGAACATGGAGATCGACAGCCCTTGATAGCACAGACGTCTTGATCGGGATGAGATATATCGATAATGACTTCAGAGTCAATCCACGGGTTTTACGCACATAGTCGCTCATGGTATTATCCTTCTGTTCCAGTGATCGGTTATGTGTTTCGGCAGCCTCTTTTATCACCTTGTAGTGGAGCGAGTCGGTTGCAAGATGGTTAAACCGGAATCCTTCAAGCGCTCGCTTTGCGAGTGCTAGTTCAAGGATTTCTCGATGGACGTTCTCGCCAAGTTCAAGTGTAGCCGGTGTTGACGACTCTTTAGACTCCTTAGTTTCAGCATCTGTAGTCAGAATCTCCCCAGCGGTCTCCTCTGCCATAGGTTCTGAAGTAGACTCGTCTGCATCGTGGGAATCAGGTTCTGGCTCGCAAACATCAATATCCTCCGGCTGAGGGCTGTCGCTGGTGGATTGGTGCGCTTTGGGATCCTTTTTGCCCTCATTGTCAAACAAACCGACATATTTCTCTTCGGGTTCCGCGCTTTTGGGTTTATCTTCCTCATCTGATTTGCCAGCATCACTAGTATCGGAAGAAGATGCCGGTGTAGCCTTCCCGGTTGCGCTTCCGGCGGTCGACTCCACGTCCGACCCAACTTTGCCCGACTTCCCACCAAGAGTCCCCTTTTTGCCCTTCAAGTATTTCGTAGCCCCCTTCTCAACGGCTTTCATAAATTCTTTCTGTTCCGCAGTGAGATCAGACATGCCTGGTGCAGCCATCAACTTCTTTGACAGTACCGCAAATTCATTGATAAATGAGTTCACAGTATCGTCCATGCCAGCACCAGATTTCTTTTCTTCATCGCTCATATTCGAGCCCAACACCCCCTTCGGCTTTGATTCTAGACCAAAAATTTGAGCCAATACAGCTTCCTGTGCCTGCTTAGCTTCAACCGCCCGGAATGCTTTGGCTGGACCAGAAGCGTCATCTGTAGAAGGAGACGCCACAACAGCTGGAGGCGGGATCATATTGCCAAACTCATCGATTTCCTGGTCCGATTCGTCGCCCGTGTCGTCAGCAGGAGGTGGTTTCCGCGCTTTCCTTGCCAGGGCCTCTGAAAACGACAGCTGCAGCTTGTTTAATGTTGAAGATGAGTTATGGATGCAAGCCTTGATCTCTTTGACATACTCCAGACTATCCATGTCGAGGACAGACAGAGTCTTCAGGTTCTTAAATCCCGATATTGTAGGCGGACCGTGATCTGTTTTCAGTTCAGTCACCAGCGATGCAAGAATCGCCTTTGCCTCTGCGTTTGTCATCTTCGTAGGTTGAGCTTCCGAATTGTCCCCGATGGCTTTCGCAAACTGTTTCGCGACTTCAATAGTACCACCGACTGTATCATCGGGGACGTATTTTAGTGACTGTAATGGTGGTGGCTGTTGGTACAGTGACTGTCCCGAATGCATACGAAGATATAGGTGCTGCAATGCTGGGATACTATGTAAGGATTTGTAGACCGGCCGACTCAATTCAACGCGTACATCCCACCTATACAGCATGTTAGTCACTGGCGAACCCTGGGCGGTATATGAGATCTTCCTTACTTAAAAGTCTCCAACGCCTTCGCTTTCCGCAGCGTCAACAAAAACAGCGTATTCATAAACTTCCCGCAGCTCACATCATTTGTATAGTGTTTATAGGCCTTTTCCCCCTTCGCACCTCCACTCAGGCTCTCGAGGGCAATCTCCTTCAGGTATCTCGCATAGTCGTACTCGCTCGTAACAAGCGTGTCCAGCCCAGCCGCCAGCCCATCCATATCGGACTCGTAAGTCCCATCGTCCTCATCTGGGAATATGATATGGAAATTTCGATAGATCTGCGCCGCCGCCAGATCGCGGAAGTGCTTCGAGACGAGGGACAGCGATATCAGGTCGGGCGCGGTACACTACGCTGTCAGCTAGCCATCCCTTCTGCCTCACGATCCCCAGACGGACGTGGACCCCGACCCACAGCGGGGCGCCCAAGCCGTGAAATTAATCGGCGGGGAAACTCACTTGCTGGATTATCCCATTCTGTGTTTCCGAGGGGAGATCGAAAAAGGACAGCGATCCGGGCGCTTGCTCGGCCTTGCCCGAGTCGGGCGTAGCTATGGGGTCGGCGAAGCTCATGGCGCCAGAGGCTGTTGGAGGAGGAGAGTTGGTTTCAATATTGTTGAGATCGTGCCATTGCGACCAGGGCCCTTTGTTGGAGACGATGGCTATGGGGGTTGCTCTCTTGCTCCGTGCTTGTTTCAACGATGGCATCGTGGGGATGTTTGAGGTTGAGGTGCGCGCTTGGTAGGAGATTCGGCAGGCAGATCGGGAAGCTATGATCCACCAGTAACCACAACCGACCTTGGAAGGCGGTCGAGCTACCAAGAGGACTTCAGAAACTGTGCAAAAGATGAAAGATGGAAAAGGAATATGGCCAGTCTAGCCAGTAAAGTTGATGGTGGTTGACTGGAAGTCAATATGGCTGCCTTTATTTCAAGCAGCCGACAAGGCTGAGCTTGGAACGAAGTAGGTGTCCAGCATGGTTGGAGACAAAGACGAATCCCAACAGGTGCCAAGGATGCTGCTATACGGGCCAACGCACACCTCCATTACTCATCATGAAACACATTGAACTTGCACGACAATGGCTATTACTACGATACGGAGGTGTTGTTCAAAAGTTTCGTCGGTGCATCCGGAGATGGCAGGGGGTAAGGCAGGGGTTGGGACATGGGTACGCGTAGGCTTGTTTGTATCTTTTGAACGCGTTGAAATTCTTCCTATAGCATTTTGTATGTGGGAAATTCATCTTTCTATAACTACAATGCATCACCTTGCTCGCGATGAGCAGGGATTGCTATGCGAAAGCCAATTATTTTAGAGACAAATCGACGAAAGCGACTTGAGTGGGCCATTACCCATAGAAGCTGGACGGAATGACTAGGACAGAATCCTTTGGACTGACGAGACGTAGGTGACTCGTACGTGGGTAACCCGGAAAGCAGGGGAAACGTGGGATGATACGTGTGTTGTAGACAGAGTACAACAGAAGAAGTGAGAAAACCCCCTATTTACTATGGTATTTACTTATATATATCTCTAGAGGTTGGATGTTCTAGGGCTGTTTCTAAGGTGCTCTCGAAAGGGTCCTATGCTCTTCTAGGAGAATGCCTACCTATATAGCAGTAGTAATTGCTGTAAATGGATGGTTTAAAACCTTAGTTGTGGTGAAGTATATGAGATTCTTATAATCCGTCCATACCTATATAGGGTAGGTCAATCCCTTAAGATATACTTGCCATTGCTCAAAAGCAACAACAATAGCTATTACAGTTCTCACACAATAAGTCAATATAATAATTCCTTTACATAATATCAAGATATACTGAATATCAAGTAATCAAACCATTACATAAGCCAAACGTCCAATGTGCCCTGAATGCCCTCATTTGCCTTTTTGACCACTAATTCCCTTTCTATATGCTCTAAAGAACGGAGCGTAACTGCCGGCTCCCTTATGCCACTATTCCCAGTTTCCATAAAGTCAATCAGAACTTGGAGGGCTTGTAGAACTGCCTGCGTAGAATGAACCACCGGCAGTCTGAGCTCCTCCCCATCATCATCATCTTGACCTTCATTAGGAGAATGGATATATTGCTCAATGACCTCTTGTAGTACTATATCCCCCTCGCTATCTTGTATACCCTCTTGTATTGTCTCCTCCGCTGGGTTTAGAAAGTTTGAAAGGTCCATCGCATCATGAATTCAGCCGTGCTGTTGTACTTGGTTGTAAAGGTCAGGAAGAGGCAGAATGTGCTCAAGAGGAAGTTGGATCGGGTTTTTGATGATTGTGTTTTTGTGGAAGCAGTTGTAGATAGTCGTATTTGAGACATTGTGATACCACGATAGGATGATCCAGCGAAGGGCAAGGTGTAAGTTCATAGTTTTAAGAGGATCTTCATTGTTGTCGAAGGCGTTTAGCATGAACACAAGTCATTGTCGACGATAATGAGCTTTAAGGGAGGCAGTAATGCCTTGATCAAGGGCCTGGAATCGACTTGTTGCATTTGCTGGTAGTCAGATAATTCATATATTTGAGGGCGGACCCTTCCTTGGGTGGCTAGATTCTCACATCTGGTGCACCCACCATTACACCAAGGAAAGGGATGATTTTACTAAGACAACACACTGTCTTAGGAAACAGAGCCAAAGGGTTGTAGCTTAGACTATTCCACAACGCAGCAATCAGGTGTGCGATGTAGTGAAGTGGTTCAGACAAGTTGCAACAAATGTTGAGTCTGGGAACTCAGGGGTAAGTCAGAGGTTAACACCTCACTGACTTTTCAGAAACAAGGAGTAACAAGATGAATGCTTGGAAGCTTGGAAAAGACGTGGAAGTAGGTGATAGTCGATTTACTGTATTGTCTGCTTGCCCTTTCTTAAGGAAAGGGCAATCCTATTTATGCTAAAGGAATGTAGTTCTCTCATTTTCCAAGACTTTCCATGACTAACCAGGCTTGGTAACTGTAGTCGACGTAAGAGAATCCCGTAGAACAATCTCCTAGGTTCCTAGCCTATAGGAAGTGAAAGGAGGTCCAAGGTCAGAGTACCCCTATAGACAAATTATGTCATAACTTAACCAATCTTGTGGGTAACTAAGGAGCGATGACGTGTAATGAATCATAGAGGGTTGTAGAAGCTTTTGGAGCTATCATTCATGTTCCTAGGCCTCTAGTTGATAGAGATATGTCATGTGGTAGTATTAGCCCAGTAACTAAGGAGTGATGTCATGTAATGAATCATAGAGGGTTGTAGAGATATGCTATGTGGTAATATCGGCCCAGTAACTAAGGAGCAATGACGTGTAATGAATCATAGAGGGTTGTAGCAATTGTTGAGTAGTATTGCTCTTGTTGTTGGTGTGATAAGCCAAAATATATATAGTGACTTGTAGGTTTGAGGAGGAAATTTCTAAGTTTGCTCTTGAGTTTGATAGTAAACTGAGTGCAACGAATGTCAGTATGACAGTTGCTCCCAAATCGTTTTAGTGTGTAGTTGTAGTATATTGGTGCTTGTAACTCCTCCCTTGCTTTCAATAAGCTGCTGCCATTCAAAGAGGACTGCTTCAAGGTCAGGCCGGCAACAGCTGCGACGGTGAGTTGATTGCTGAATTGTGTTAAGAGGTATTGTATCGAGGTTGGCGTATCGAGAGCTCAAAGATTCGGAGACTGTTGACTGTCGAATACGATGACCGAAGGTTCTAAAGAACCAGTCGATAGAGGCTTTTTGCGAAGGCTTTGGTGACTGGTGAGCATACCAGTTTCAGAGTGCTTGACGCTGCTCAATCATCATTGTAAACAGCTGATTTTGAGGCATCTTGGCCTATGTAATGTCAGTATCAGACTGTATCTGGTCAAATCAGTTCGATATCGAGTGTATCGTAGTTTTGGTGGGAAAATAAAGAATCCTACAAAAAATATCGAGTTAGCATGAATATCGCCTAATCAAGTATCGACTTATCGCGTGAGAACTGTAGCTTCTTGTTGTAGATGTCATATTAAGCTCTATAGGTAACAGTTACAGTATTGTAAAGAATACTATATTGAGTTGAGCACGAAGCTCCTATCTAAGGAAATACTATCTCCTTATATAGTGGCATCATGCCAAAGGGATATCCGTGGATAACATGGATAACATAATATCCATGATATCCAATGTTATCCATCACGTGAGGTTGCAGCCATAAGCGCTAGCCATAGCACTAGCACTTAACCGTAACAGCTGGGATTTAGCAGTCCTTCCTAACCACACTCCTACGTAAGTCGATTTCTAGTTTTAGAATCCTTGTTGCTAACAAGTCTTTAGACAGCGCTACACTGCCTGTTAGGGCACTGTTAATTCATGCCCTCCCTAGAACACAAACTGCTTAGAGGAGCAGTTATGGTAAGTGAATTTGTAGGTTTAGAATCCTCGTTACTAATGAGCCTTTAGCTGCCTATACTAGCCATACAAGGCTAACAGAGAAGTATGTGCTAAATGTTATAGCTGTAAGTGTTCTGTATTTTTATCTTGTTTGTCTCATTTTTTAACAATGATTTAGGCTGTACTAGCAATGCACCAATGCCACTCCCCTAGTTACAGCTGTAACATTTAGTAGTAGTGCTAGCATACACTTCTCCATTAGCCTTGTGTAGCTAGTATAGGTGGCTAAAGGCTCATTAGCAACGAGGATTCTAAACCTACAAATTCACTTACAAGTGTATAAATAGCTTGTAGCATCATCCTACATTTCTGCTTACTCTAATAATATATATGCTTGTTATAAACAAGTTTTTTTACCAAACTTAACCTATGGAATAGCTTGGTTACACTTCTACATACGCTATAAATTGTCACGGTTCACCAAGGCATAGGGCGCCAGTTGGGTATTATGAATTAAACTCAATCTAGAGAAGAAAGGAAAGAGAAGAGGAGCACTCGAGCAGTGGCTCGATCTATATACAGCTATGTTGTTGTGGTGTGAATTCTCTTTAGCGAGACCAGTTCTGAGAATTCACTCCACAACTGAAAACTTCGCTCCAACCCCGGAAAGCTCCCCACACCCCTGAACCCCCACTCGAGTTGCAAGGCGCACTTGATATCGTAACATAAATCATATGAAGTAAGAGCCCTTGTACTTGTAGAAACTTCACTAGCATAAGTCTAGAATCTATTAGTATACAATATCTCAATAGGAATGAGAGAACTTGCCTTCATCTTATTTAGGGCTCTTATATAGCATGAAACTGTCATTGATAATGAGGGATTTCCCTGCTAATTACTGAGTCAACTAGCTTTTTTATTAAATATATATAGAGGCATTATTATTAAATAACTTAATAAAATAATCTAGGTATAATTATATTAAAAATGTTGCTCCTATCAAGAGAGAAGAAGATGTCTTTAAATGCTGGTTTACAACGAGAAATTAACACTAGCCATACATCAATTGAATCATTTATTCTACCTAAAAATATAATTGATTCTAATACAAGAACAATTACTAAGAAGCACTGACTTCTAGGCTAGGCTAATGCCTTTAACCTAGCTAAATATGAAGCTGAAAGGTATTATATTATTATATTTACATATATAACGTACATGTATAGCGAAAGCGCCAAACAAGCGAAAGCGCCAAAATGATGCGGTGACCAAACCCCCCAACTAAATGTTAAATTCCTCAACAACAAAACATGCCCCATAAAAACGATGAAAGCCAATTAGTGCTAGCTATCCAGGCTATGCAAAGCGACCCAAAGTTACGCCTTCGAGTTGCTGCTAGGATCTATTCTGTGGACCACCGCAAGCTAGGTCGTCGTCTAGAAGGTGTACCTTCACGACGCGATATCCAAGCCAACTCACGGAAATTAACTAACCTAGAGGAGTCCGTCCTTGTTCAGTATATACTCGACCTAGCTGCCAAAGGGTTTCCTCCTCGGCTGTCTGTTGTTGAAGATATGGCAAGTCGACTACTTGCAACACGCGACGCGTCACGCGTTGGGTCGCGTTGGGCTTCAAACTTTGTTAAGCGGCGTGTAGAGCTCCAGACACGCTTTCAGCGCAAATACGACTACCAGAGGGCTAAGTGCGAAGATCCAGAAGTTATTAATGGCTGGTTTGAGCTTGTGCGTAACACAATTGCGAAATATGGTATCGATGAAGCAGATATCTACAACTTTGATGAGACTGGGTTTATGATGGGCGTTATCTCAACTGCTATGGTTGTAACAAGCTCAGACGGGCGGGCAAAAGCAAAGAAGGTACAGCCTGGTAATCGGGAATGGGTTACAGTAATCCAAGGCGTTAGTTCTCAAGGTTGGGCAGTACCACCATTTATCATTGTTGCAGGCAAAAACCACCTTACATCTTGGTATGAGAATAGTGGATTTTCAAGCGATTGGGTGATTTCTGTTACTGAAAATGGCTGGACTACAAACGAGAGAGGCATGGATTGGATTCAGCACTTTGAGAAGCATACAAAGGCCCGGAGTGTTGGTGGTTATCGCTTGTTAGTCCTTGATGGTCATGAGAGCCACCACTCAGATGAGTTTGAGGAGTACTGCAAGGAACACAACATTATTACGCTTTGTATGCCTGCTCACTCTTCTCATCTACTCCAGCCACTTGATGTTGGCTGTTTCGGCCCGTTAAAGCAGGCCTATGGTCGGCAAATTGAAGATATGATGCAGGCTCATATTTCTCATATTACAAAGGATGACTTCTTTCCTGCCTTCCACGCTGCATTTAACACTACAATGACGGAAAGTAACATTCGAGGCGGGTTCCGAGGGGCAGGGCTTCTTCCATTTGACCCTGAGAGAGTGATATCTACACTTGATCTTAAGTTAAGGACACCAACGCCTCCAAGCTCCCGCCCAGGTACTGCTCAACCTTGGGTTTCTCAGACACCAAACAACCCAATTGAAGCTATGTCACAGTCTACATTTATTAAAACTCGGATTTCACGCCATCAAAATAGCTCTCCAACCTCAATCTATGCAGCTGTTGACCAGTTTACAAAGGGTGCATCGCAAATAATGCATCAATTAGCACTGCTAAAGGGAGAGAACCAAAACCTACGACAGGCAAATGAAGTACTAAGCAAGCGCCGGAGAGCTAGGAAAACACGACTACAGCAAGGAGGATCACTTAGTCAACAAGGGGCGCAAGAGCTACAGGATGAGAGGGATGTTGTGCAGCAGGTAGAGCAGGAAATAAGGGCAAGCCGTGGTCGGAAGCCAAGGGAAGAAACCCGTGCCCGTCGCTGTGGCAAGTGTGGTGAGACTGGGCACAATGCGCGCACGTGTCAGATTGTAATAGACACCTCTGAGGAAGAGGACTCCGAGTAGTTTCAATTGATTTCTAATGTTGTGGTAGATTTATCGCAATGTTTGTCGTGAGGGTAGATAATTTTGGCGCTTTCGCTTGTTTGGCGCTTTCGCTATACATGTACGTTATAGGTGCTAAAGGTATAATAGCAAGAAATATTTCGTTCCTATTAAGGAATCCTACAAACTTGTTGTTCTAAATGAGCCAAAAAGGAAGAGGGACCTTGGCTACTCCACCTACTACTCAGTGTCAACCTTATCAAAAAGGCTCACTACTAACGACAACGAGAATTATATAGAGCTTGATTTCTTTAATAAAGGAGAGCTTGTTCTTATTTCCTCAATTCCTATTCTACCATCAAAAACATATCAAGCATATAAGAAATTACCACAGCTTATCCTCGACTAGGATAAGGGAAAAACCCTTGTTATTAACGACTAAAGTATACCACTTAAGTATTAGAAGATACTATATCTTCCAACTTACTAGAAGGTAATTAAGAATAACTAGTGTTAGTAGAGGGTAAGCTATTCTAACACACCTTATTACCTCGATTCTAACGACTATATTAGTTTGTTTATTACTCATTTGTTGAGTGCTAGAGAGATTAGAAGGTGTTTTGGGAGAAGTATGGCAAGTTCTCGTCTGTAACAAGACTCTACAGTACTCTCTAGGAGGAGCGCACAGCAGCTGATAAAGCTGATGTAGATATAGCAAGGAAGGAGGTTGATTTTACAGCTACTTATATGCATCGTGGGGCATGAGGGAAAGGAGCAGACTTATGAAGGAGGATGTTGATATTGCTCGTTTATGGCGAGAAAATAACAATATGAGTGTACAGTGGTGGCATAGGTTCTGGTATATAGTAGGCCATAGGCTCTATAGAGCAATTTATACTCTAAAAACAGTGTTTACATGGTTTTATTTCAAAATCCTCGTTGGAAACGAGGAATCACTTGCGCATTGCGCAGGTGATTTTTTACTCGTTTGCCGAATTCAGTGTTGGATTATTCATCCTGGCAGGAGCTGTGGTGCGTTCAGCTAAGTCGGGGCAACAGGACAAGTAAGTGCGTGCGTACCATGTGCAAGGTCGTAGAGTACAGTATGGTATATGTGCTCCCATATATGCACATATATTGAAGCTGAACAGAGATGGACAAAGATAAAGTTTATCAAGGAAACTGACTTCTGTTTGTGCTTGAAGTTCAGGGCCGCTTCAGGCATCCTCGTACCCGTAATCGATTGGCCGACGTCTGCCTTACAGGCAACAGTGGCCTTGTTAGCCGAGGCCGGGCTGTTTGGCGCTCACCCTTGCCTAAATTGGGACGATTGGGGAGCTGTTGTAACTTGTTCCAGCAGCAGTGGGCAGTTGGAGAAAGTACTTTGCTAATAGTGGTATGATACTTGCCGATAAGGACATGATTGTGCTGCGGAGATTGTACCTTCTCTCTAATCGTAAAGTAGCATCCCATCCCATCCCATCCCAACCTCCTCCCTTCCCTTTCCCCACACACAGCCTTCCCGCAGCCTCACTCCAACATCGCCAGTCCATTCAGCCTCCATACAATCTCCATTCAGCCTCCATACAACAGCCATACAACAGCCATACAACAGCCATACAACAGCATTTGTGCCAGAGAGAGATGAACTTTAAGATGACTTCCTCGAAGCCTAAGAAGATTTCAAGAGGATTGGCAAAACAGCTCAAGAAAGACACTAGTCTATACTATCAAACGGCCACTAGATGAGGACTTGGAATGTTAACACCTACACTGAATTCCAAAAGCTGTCACCTAGCAGCCAAGAGTACGCCTAGTCAATGTTGAAAGCCATTATAAAGGACTGCCTCATCGTCGGTCAAGCTTTTAATGCTACTATTGCAGAGCGAAATGATGCTATTCTACAGCTCTAAGAAGAAATTCAAGACAAGGATGAAAAAGCCTCATTCACCATCCGTCCACCGTCCACCGTCCACAGTCCACCGTCCACCATCCACCCTCTTACCTCCCTCAACCGTCAAGACCCAAGACTCCAGCGTCAAGAGTTGCATCTCCCTCCCTCCTCCATCCTGCATCCTCCTAATGCACACTCTGACGACAAGGCAGCTACTAGTATAGCTTCATTGGCGTACGATTGCTGCAGTACCACTACTGCACTGTTACAACGCCATCACAACGCACCATACATACATTCCACATTCCAATACCGACCTAACTCCATATTTCTGCCTGTTCTCCCTCCCTGCTACCCTGCCACTCACAGCTTCTTTTTAAGAGCCGAAGTCGCCCACGCCGAGTGACACTTCCTTTCACCCCGTCTTTCGGTGTACTCGTAGCTAAGACATATATCTCACCGTCTTCTTCTTCTTCGCTCTTCTCTCACTATACTCTCTCTGTGCCTTGTTTTACTCTCTGACCTCACCTGTCACCACCGCCTTTTTCGCCAACCACGACTAACGACTTACGAAGCTCACTGAGACATTTATAATTCTATACAAGAGGTAAAAACCCTCTCTGCTGCCTTACTGCTCTCCTTTGCAACCACGGAAGACAGGTCGTCGACCAGCACATCCAACAAACGGGTTTCACAGGATTCCATCAGCTGGCCCATATGCCATCGTGTTCTGTAACATCTGGCTAACCATCTTAAATTGATAGGTCTGCCAAACTCCGAATCCGCAAACCAAGCATCGTGAGACGGTGTGTGTCCTTGATATACACTTCCAATCCACGACAAAGTGGACGCCCCCAACCACCTCGACTCGACTCTGCTATAGGACAAGAGATGGATAACCAACCATTGGACAAGGAGGTCATGGCTCCCGGCGATAACACGCCGGTGACATCCGAGAGCAGCAGCCCTGCACAAAAGGAGACCAAGACAAGGCAGGGCTCGGCCGCTACCAGAAAGACTTCCAACTCCAAGAAGTCGAAGCTGAAGGCCAAGGACTGTGGCAAATCGGCCAAGAAGTCAAAGTCGAAGAAGGCAAAGGAGGTCGACAGCAGCAGCGATGATTCTTCAGACGATTCAAGTGACAGCAGCGACGACGATTCGAGTGATAGCTCATCGTCAAGCTCCTCCGACTCCTCCGACACAGAGACGGAAACCAAGAAGCAGAAGGCGAAGCGCAAGCTGAGGGAGAAGAAAAAGAGCAAGCAAAAGGCGAAGGACAAGAAGAAGGCTAAATCAAAGAAGAAGGCGCAAAAAGATGTGAGTTCTAAAAATCTGCACCATAATCGTGGAACCTACCACTTCACGACGATTGTACCTCAGCAAATTACTAATTACATTGTAGGATTCCTCAGATTTCGATTCCGATAGTGACAGCAGCGAAGAAGCATCCGACAGCCTTGAAGAAGACGTATCCGATGACTCGGATATAAATACCCAGCTATTGCAACTGCAACTTCTTCAACAGCAATTGGGACAGCCTATTCACCCGACCTATTACCCTCCTGCGGGTGGAAGGGGCCTAAATCGTGGCCTCCGAGGTGGCCGCGCCGCGCGTGGTTTGGCGGCCAGGATCCAGGCGCAGCAGAACGCCAAGCTTGGCCTGGATGCATTGGGCCAGAAGCTGAAGAAAGACAAGAAGCAGGCGAAGTCGAAGAAGCGAGGCTCCAGGCTGGAGTTCAAGAGGGTGGACCAGTTGTGGGATAGCACAATCCACAACTACAAGCTCACAGATACGGCTGAAGATGAGGAGTCTGCCGAGTACGACCAGTACTTGTTCAATGTCAGGCGAACTTTTGACTGGGAGGGAAAGTACAAGACCACCCTGATTGACATCAAGAGTAAGCTATTGAAGGAAGCCTTGAACGGCATCATGGATGGAGTGAAGGGAGTAAGCTTGGTTGAGGAGGCTCCGGCAATCGATCCGAACCTCCTCTTCCTTTACCTCGAGGACCTTCGTACGCTTATGAAAGACCTCAAGGGAAAGCGCAAAGGCGAAGTAAAGATGAAAAAGAAGGAGATCAAGAAGAATGATGAGAAGATCAAGCATCTCAAGGTCCTCCTGAAGTATCTGGACAAGGACTATGCGGAAACCAAAAAGACCCTCTACCCGATGTTGGAATCCGGTCTTATCACCTTCGACTACCTCTGGGCTCTGTACAAGCCGAATACCCTTGCTTACACCACCACCTATGGGACGCTGGATGAGCCACGAGCCTTCAAGATCGAATATGCCGAGAAGGAATGCAGTTTCATGAAAGGGGAGTGGTACAGCATTGAGGGCAAGTATCTCGAGTATGACGGCAAGGCCTGGGGAATGGGCACGATGGACTGTGATGTCCCAGCATTCAAGGGTGCACGTAAGATCACTAGTCTTGCCTGCTATCCCCTCAGGTATCACAAGGACGAGGAGAAAGTGCGCAAGGAGCTTATTGAGCGCGGCAAGAAGTTCGTCTCGTTGCAGGGTGTCCATTACAAGAGTCACGAAGGCCTCGCGTATTACAAGAAGAAGCGACAGGTCATCAAGGTCAATATCAATGGCCGAATTATGATTGACCCGGCAATTCATCGACGCATTAACCCCAATTATCAGGTCAGCACTGTCAAGCCGGAGGACCCCAACGAACTTGAGGATTCTTCGGACGAAGGGGATTCGGACTGCGGATGCGAGTGCGACGACTCTGATGACGAGAACAAGAAAGCCGGGATGGATGATGTCGATGAGCCGAAGATGAAGATCAAGGTTGTTATGGACGACAAGAAAAAGATCCATGTCGTCCAGGTTGCGGTGGATGCCGACGGCCAAGAAATCAAGCCTGAGAACCTCGAGGCAGTAGCTGAGCAAGGCCAGGACTCCGAGGACAAGACGGACGGGAAGAAGCTCATCCCCGTCTTCACTGAGGAGGAATACCTCATCGCCTCGCCTGTTGTGCTCGGCTTTGCTTTCAGTGAGAAGTTGTGGCTCGAATTCACCGTCTCGGGCACCAAAGAGATTGCCTGGAACGACGGCGCATACGAGTCCCTCGTCCTCGAGAACAACGCCAAGGACATCGTCAAGGCTCTCGTTGAGTCCCACAAGTATCACCCGACTGAGAGCATCGACGACGTCATCCAAGGAAAGGGTAAGGGCCTTGTGGCGGTGTTGCATGGCCCACCTGGAACAGGTAAAACCCTTACAGCTGAGGGTATCGCCGAGCTTCTCAAGTGCCCACTCTATATGGTCTCAGCTGGCGAGCTGGGTACTGACCCGCGCACCCTCGAGGCAGAACTTCAGAAGATCCTCGATATCAGCATGACGTGGGGCTGCGTGCTGCTGCTCGATGAGGCGGACGTTTTCCTCGAGAAGCGAACTATCCAGGATATCCATCGCAACGCGCTCGTGAGCATCTTCCTCCGCCTGCTCGAGTACTTCCAGGGCATCCTTTTCCTGACCACCAACCGCGTCGAGGTATGTCTTCCCCAATCCCACCCCCACAAGCATTACAGGAACCCACTAACTTACTCCCCAGACCTTCGACGACGCCTTCCAATCGCGTATTCACATCGCCCTCCGCTACAGCGAGCTTTCCACCAAAGCCAAAAAGGCCGTCTTCCAGATGTTCCTCGAGAAAGTGCGCGTCCTCGAAGGCACGGACACGCTGCCCTTCAGCGAGGCAGACTTCAACGACCTCGCCAAGCATAACCTCAACGGACGGCAGATCAAGAACACGGTTCGCACAGCGCAGGCCCTCGCTGTGAACCAGAAGGAGCCGCTCAGCATGGTGCATATCCGCCGTGTGCTGGATGTTGCGCTCGCTTTTGAGAGGGACCTCAAGGGGGGAACTGGGTATGAGGACGCGATGAGGAATTATTATTAGAGCAGAGTGGGGGTTATATGACCTAAGTCTACTACTGGTGGTAGAGAAAGGGGCCAGGAGGAGGAAACAGGGAGATACACAGCGGTTTTTGCTTGTATACATTTTTTTCTTTCCTTTTTCCTCGTCCTTCCTGCATCTTGCGGTTCTTTCTCTGCTTTTTTGCGTCTTTTATGACAGGGTTGTTGTTTATGAGGGCTATGTATGAATGATATCATGAGACAGACGGACTGCGGGGTTAGAGGATAGATAGGGGCGCTGAGACGTTATATGGGAATTCTATGGAGTCGGGAAGATGGGGTAACTAGTACGAGCATGGATAGCGAGGTTGAGGGATGGGTGATAATTAGTAACGGCATAGTCTGGTTCTGGTATTATAGTCTAATCTCATCTCTCATATTTTATATTTCATGCCTTTCGTATTTACTAGGAATTTTTTACCAATACGGCTGCCAAAAGTGGGCAAGCAAGCTGAATGTGATCAAATTGCCAATAGAGATGGGTAGGGATTGTTAAAGGATCAGAGCTCGCAGGCTTTACTGAGTTCAAGAACTGAGGTATGGACAACATTGGCAACGTTGCCACCTCGATGTCTTGGCCCTTATTCAGTGGTGGTTTATCTAGCACATATTCCCCAAATATTATAAAAGTGGAAGCTGAGAGCCTATATACATACGGAGGTGTTGTTCAAAAGTTTTGTCGGTGGACCCGGCTAGGGCCCCCTGCGTAGGCTGGCTTGGCAATTCTGGCCGAAGTAGTTACCGATTCTCATACGACGCGATGACTCGGCTGAGAATGATGAATTCTGTAGAATAAAGAGTATAATAGCTACCTAATTGACTATATAAATCATTACTAAATGCCTAGTACTCCGTGTGCATATCAAGTAGCAATTACGCTGCCATATAGGTAGGCATACTGTTAATGAGAGCATCAAGCTCTACGTGCCCAACTTGATTCCATGCGTCTGCAACAGCTACACAGAGCTGATCGTAGGACATGTGCTCTAGATAATTATCTTGTAGATAATTCTTCATAATATGCCATACCCGTTTAATCAGGTTTCAGGTTGGGATCTGGTAAGTATAGGGGCCATTTAATAGGGTAAATGCCACAGCTTCTTAACTCCTTAATCGTAGCAACCTGCTTGGTGACTTAATGTAAGGCCTAGATACATACGTAGCCATGAATCAGAGGGATAGTATGAGCCATATAGGTCTTAGCTCTAATCTTCCTAAATTCCTTCTCCTAGAAGAGCATAGGACCCTTCCTAAGAGCACCTAAGAAAAAGCCCTAGAACATCCAACCTCTAACGTGGTTTACCACCAAACGGAACATCGCACCAAATGAAACACTTTCCGATAGCATCGCAACCTCAAACCCAATTACTCCACCACACCACAACAAAAAGATGCCTCAGAAAGCTAATGAAGGCTGAGTTTTACTAGCCATTCAAGCTACCAAATCACCCCACAAACTGTCCATCCGACGTGCTGCGCAGCTATATGAGGTCCCACATGTAACACTTACCCGTCGCATACACGGAAGCCAACCACGAGCTGGTAGACGCGACAAACAACGTCCATTGACCCCAATTGAGGAAGAGGAGCTCATACGATACGTACTTGACCTAGATTCGCGAGGATTTCCACCTCGAATTGAGGATGTACGAGATATAGCGAATCTCCTCCGTGCGACGCGTCGCGAACCCCCAGTTGGAAAAAACTGGCCCTACCGCTTTGTACACAATGAACCAAAGCTTAAGACGCGTCTCTCTCGTGCGTACGACCTCCAGCGAGCCCTCTGCGAAGATCCTGATTGTATAAGAAAGTGGTTTGAGCTGGTAAAGAACATGCAGGCGAAGTACAGCATCCAGGATGCTGACTTCTACAACTTTGATGAGACGGGCTTTATGATGGGTGTTATCTGTGGGAATATGGTTGTTACGAGCTCAGATCGAAAAGGCCGAGCAAAGCAGCTTCAGTCTGGTAATCGGGAATGGGCAACAGCGATTGAATGTGTGAGTGCAGACGGCTTTGTAGTGCCTGCATACTTGATTGTACAAGGCAAGCATCACCTTGCGCCTTGGTACACAGAGTGCGGCCTTCCACCTACTTGGGCCATCAAGACCTCACCAAATGGCTGGACCGACAATGATACAGGTCTAGACTGGATAAAACACTTTAATCAGCATACACGTGTACGAACACAAGGGGTCTGGCGGATGATTGTCCTAGATGGCCATGAGAGCCACCTATCTGCCCAGTTTGATATGTACTGCAAGGAGAACAACATTATTACGCTCTGTCTCCCTGCGCACTCCTCACATCTTACCCAGCCTCTTGATGTTGGGTGTTTTAGTGTACTAAAGCGAATGTATGGTCGAGAACTTGAGGTCTTCATTAAGGCCTCTATTACCCATATCACTAAGATTGAGTTCTTTATTGCATTCAAGGCTGCCCACGACCATACATTGACAACTGAAAATATCCTAGCTGGCTTTCGAGGTACTGGCCTAGTCCCGTACAACCCAGAAGCAGTTCTCTCAAAGCTTGATATCAAGTTACGGACGCCAACACCAACTGGATCCCCCCTACTAGAGGCTGACCCTTGGGTCCCTCAAACGCCACAAACCCCAGCTGATGCAATTTTGCAGTCTAAGTTTGTACAGAATAGAATTGGAATTCATCAAGGAAGCTCCCCAACAACGATTTTTTCAGCTGTAAAGCAGCTGGTGAAGGGTACAGACCGCATTGCGCACCAAATGACCCTTATACAAGAGGAGGTCCGTACCCTTCGAAAGGCCAACACAGCACTTTCAAAGCGTCGGAAAGCCAAGCGTACACGTGTCCAAGATGGAGGGTCACTTACTATAGAAGATGCTCAAAAACTGATCGCTGAAAAAGAGGATAAAGGGTTGAAACGACAGAAAAGGTCAAATGAGGAGGGTGCTGTAGAGGCTGGTCCATCGACTTCGCGGCGCTGTGGGAGGTGCGGCAAGACTGGGCATAATGTACGAACCTGTCAAGAGGTTGAAGAGATATTAGGAGAAGAGAATTCAATTGAGTGTAGTTAATTTTAATGTGTTAGGGTGGAGTAATTGGGTTTGAGGTTGCGATGCTATCGGAAAGTGTTTCATTTGGTGGGATGTTCCGTTTGGTGGTAAACCACGTTAGAGATATATAAGTAAATACCATAGTAAATAGGGGGTTTTCTCACTTCCTCTGTTGTACTCTGTCTATAACAAACATATCATCCTACATTTCCCCTGCTTTCTAGGTTACCTACGTACAAGCATGACGCCTATCTATCACCTATGTCTAACGTCTAACTTAGTCCAAACAATTCTGTCTTAGTCATTCTGTATCTAGCTTCTTGTAATGTTGGGTGCACCAGATATGAGAATCTAGCCACCCAAGGAAGGGATGAATTTACTAAGACAACACACTGTCTTAGGAAACAGAGCCAAAGGGTTGTAGCTTAGACTATTCCACAACGCAGCAATCAGGTGTATGATGTGGTGAAGTGGTTTAGACAAGTTGCAACAAATGTTGAGTCTGAGAACTCAGGGGTAAGTCAGAGGTTAGCACCTCACTGACTTTTCAAAAACAGAGAATAACAAGATCAATGCTTGGAAGCTTGGAAAAGACATAGAAGTATGTGCTAGTCGATTTACTGTATTGCCTGCTTGCCCTTTCTTAAGGAAAGGGCAATCCTATTTATGCCAAAGGAGTGTAGTTCTCTCATTTTCCATGACTTTCCATGACTAACCAGGCTTGGTAAATGTATTAGAAATCAAGTGCGACCCACAACTAGCTTGCTAATCATGTAGTGAACGTAAGAGAATCCCATAGAACCATCTCTTGGGTTCCTAGCCTATAGGAAGTGAAAAGGAGGTCCAAGGTCAGAGTACCTATAGATAAATTATGTCATAACTTAACCAATCTTGTGGGTAACTAAGGAGCGATGACGTGTAATGAATCATAGAGGGTTGTAGAAGCTTCTAGAGCTATCGTTCATGTTCCTAGGCCTCTAGTTGGTAGAGATATGCCATGTGGTAGTATTGGCCCACCCCCTTAAGGAGGAGATTTTCTTAATAACTTGTTCAATGAGTGTTCAAATGATATGCCGCGATGTATGTAGCATAAACAGATGTAGTAGAAGAGTTTGCAGCAATCGTTGAGTAGTATTGCTTCTGTTGTTGGTGTGATAAGCCAAGATATGTATGGTGACTTGTAGGTTTGAGGAGGAGATTTCTAAGTTTGCTCTTGAGTTTGATAGCAAACTGAGTGCAACGAATGTCAGTATGACACTTCTATGTAACACTGACTTCTAAATGATAGAAGACACAGAGGTTTCTTGCGTAATGTTGACTTGACAGAAGACGCAGGGGATTAGACACAAAGGCTTTCCAAGTAACACGTTACAGTATTGTAAAGAATACTATATTGAGTTGAGCACGAAGCTCCTATCTAAGGAAATACTATCTACTTATATAGTGGCATCGTGCCAAAAGGGATATCCGTGGATAACATGGTATCCAATGTTATCCATCACCTGATATTCCGTGGATCCCCGTGGATAACATAATATCCAAGATATCCAATGTTATCCATCACATGACATTCCGTGGATCGCCGTGGATAACATGGATAACATAATATCCATGATATCCAATGTTATCCATCACGTGAGGTTGCAGCTGTAAGCTAGCCATAGCACTAGCACTTAGCCGTAACATTCTATAGGTAATGGCCTATTTAAGTCGCTTTCGTCAATTTGTCTCTAAAATAATTATCTTTTGCATAGCAATCCCTAGATCTTATTAGTATTTACAGTAGTAGATAGATGGGAATACTCACTTCTATTATATCCTCTTACTAAGAGAGCCTAGGTAAGTACAAGCTGCAAGCATGGAATTTCTAGAAGCTCTATAACCTTTGTATATGGCATAATCGTTGGTTCTCAAACCACCGCCTGGAGGCGGTTGGCGAAAGCGAACTGGGACGCGAAAGCGATTGTGGGACACTTTGGGAGCGGACTCACGACGCGACACGACCGACCATGAACACGACTGACAACGTAACAATGCTGTAAATATATATAAGTTATAGAATTAAATAATTAAAAAAGATTTGGATCAATATTGTCAGGCAGTGATTGATCATCACAGCCACCGTCACTTGCATCGTGAATCATGTCGTAGTCCAAGCCTGCAAAGTTCACGTACCCACTCTCCTCGATGGCTAACAGTCGGTCCGCCTCCTCCTCCTCCTCACGTTTCTTCTGTGTAACGTCCGGGTCAATGATTTCTGTACGTAAGCCAATTGGTGGCTCCGTGTCTGGGTTACTTTTTTGAAATTCATGTAGGTC